CATTTCGAATAGGTAGCTGCTATCACATTTAGTCTAAAATGCTGGGAGAGACATCAGTATCAGGGCTAACGGACTAATGGGCCTTTTAACAAGAGTCAGTAGGGGAAGGGTGGAGGGAAGTGATTCCCCATGTAGCACATATGTGAGTCTGCAAAACGGAATTGAAAACTGGAGGCCGCAAATTGAATTCAATATAAGCTATGGAGCTTAATCAACCTTTTCTCCAACCCCTGATACAGGAGAAAACAGTTGAGAGTCCAGGCTCCAGAATTCACTCTGTCCATATTCAAAATAAGGCATTGGCTAGCTCTGTGGCCTAGGGCAAGATACTGTCTCTGTGCCTCAGTTTCTCCATGTGTAGAATGGGAGAATTGGAGTCTCTCCCTTATTCAGTTTTGAGAGGATTAACTGAGATAATGTAGGTAAGGCAGTTCAGAATGCTACTTGGCACATAATGATAAGAGTTGTTAATATTGGTTAAGTGCTTATTATGTGTTAAGGGTCAAAAATACTGCACATTACTCTTCCTCTTTGTCACGCAGGGTTTGATAGAGTTCTTCTCAATGAGGTAGATTTGACTGCTGAGAAACTGCAAAACAGAGAGGCTGCCCAAACTTCGTGCAGAATAGCATGCATCCGCAGAGACCAGGGGCTTGTTCAAACACACGTGACGTGGCCCCACCCCCAGAGTTTCAGATTCAGTGAGACTGGCGGGGGCGGGGTGGTGGTGTGAGTCTGAGAATTTGCATTTCTAACCAGGTCTCAAGTAATGTCATTGCTGCTGGTCTGGGTACCAAACTTTGACATATGCTGGCACAGAGATTGAGAGGTCACATTTTGAAGTCAGAAGGTTTCAAACTGGAAACTGAGCGTTGGCACTGTGCGGACTTGGGCAAATTACTTTATCCCTTTGAACTTCAGATTCCTTGTTTCCAATATAAGTCTAGTAGCTAGGGTGTGTGAAGAGTTGAAATATATATATATATATATATTTATATATATATTTATATGTATATGTATATAGCGTTCAGCATAGCATTACTACATGATATGCATTAGTGATTGTTCCTATGCTGCTTAATTTTGAGCAATATCTTGGTCTTCCCTGGGCCTCTACTTCTTTATCTATAAAGTGGGAACATTGACTAATCTACAGTATATGGCAGGTGAAGGAATTCAATAAGATAATAACCTTAATGTCACAACTTTGAGTGACCATCCTAGAGATTAAACATGTCTCCTTTTGTAGCACTTTAAATACAACTTGGGATGTCTTTCTCTTAGGTTAAATTAGGAAATCCTCTGCTACTGCAAAGGGTCTGAGACTCTCAATAGCCCCTTCAGATTCTCTCACCTCTCATTTTATTCCCTTGTTGCCTTCTGCCCACAGTCTTCCACCAAAGCAGATCATTCATTTTATTTCTCCTCTGTCCTGTTTGCCTTTATTTATTGCTAATGTGTTATTCTTTGCAGGAAGACAGTTGTTTTCTTCCCTAAACATCTGACATAAGTGGGAAAGGAGCATCTGCTTGGGGGAAGACTGGGCCAGGGGTCATTGGAAAGTTCTTTAGGAATAAAATATGGCTTAAAAAATTAATTTATATGTCTTACAAATGGTATTTTTTGTTGAGGTTAGACTTGGGAATGTTCCCTGGCTTCTGAAATTTTCTACTTTTAATGCCTTCTGTTTTTATTTTTATTTTATTTTTTTTTAATTTAAATTCAATTAACTAACATATAGTGTATTATTAGTTTCAGAAGTAGAGGTCAGTGATTCATCAGTTATATATAACACCCATTACATCATGTGACCTCCTTAATATCTGTCACCCATTGACCCCCATCCCCCCACCCACCTCCCCTCCAGCAACCCTCAGTTTGTTTCCTATGGTTAAGAGTCTCTTATGATTTGTCTCCCTCTCTGATTTTGCCTTGTTTTAGTTTTCCCTTCCCATGCTCCTCTGTTTTTTTTCTTAAATTCCACACATGAGTGAAGTCATATGATGATTGTCTTTCTCTGATTGACTTATTTTGTTCAGCACAATACCCTCTAGTTCCATCCACATCATTGCAAATGGCAAGACTTCATTTTTCTGATGGCCGCATAATATTCCTGTGTGTGTGTGTGTGTGTGTGTGTATACACATCTTTATCCATTCATCTGTTGATGGATATCTGGGCTCTTTTTTTTTTTGATATCACATAAATTTAGTTAAAATAAATTTTCTCCTAAAACTTCAAAATCTCAAATCACTTAGTTTAATTTCATACAACTCCTGTTCAAAGGTTAAAATAAGAGATGGATATCTCCTTTTTTCTTGACTGAGGTATAATTGACATATAACATTATATTAGTTTCTGGTGTACAACAAAATGATCTGATATGTATAAAGGTTGCAGAGTGATCACCACAATATGTGTAGTTTGCCCCATCACCATATAAAGTTACATAATATGTAATACAGTATTACTAACTATAGTCATGCTGTTCATCACATTCCCATGATTTATTTATTTTATAACTAGAAGTTCAGACCTATTGATTCTCCTCCTCCCATTTCACTCACCCCCACAACTCCCTCTAAACTAGCTTTTGTATTAGTATTTAGCTAAGTAGAATTTTGGACATCTGGGCTCTTTTCATAGTTAGCTATTGTGGACATTGCTGCTATAAACATTGGGGTGCAGGTGCCCCTTTGGATCACTGCATTTGTATCTTTGGGGTAAATACATAGTAGTACAGTTACTGGATCTTAGGGTTGCTCTATTGTTAACTTTTTGAGGAACCTCCATACTGTTTTCCAGAGTGAATGCTCTTTGTTTTTATAGTCATACTGTCAGCTTTTTGTTTTTGTTTTTTGTTATTGTTGTTTTTTACCTTAGCTCTTTGGCAAGCCCTAAGACACAGAACCTTCTTGGCCACCAATGGCTTGCAGCTTGGTAGCAGAGACAGGAAACGTATTTCATTGCTAGTTCTTCCTTAAAGACTAAAATGGATGCCAAATTTCTTCCTGGGGCCAAGAACTCAGAGCAAAAAGAAAAATAATTTAATTTAAGATAATTTACACAAAGGTTCTTGCATCATTGTAGTAAATCCCTGAGAAAAGGGGGCAAGCTTTACTCAGATCAACAATTTTCTAATTAATAGTACAATTTTCCTTTGGAGATACTGGGTTGGGGAGATAGCATGGCCTTTGGGATTGGTTACCTCCTTTGGTAAATAGGTGAATGTTTCCTCCTATACAGAACCATCCCTGCATGGTTTTTCTATTACTCAAACTTGAATTTTACTGGTTAATTTTTACCCTTCTATTGTGAATGCCTCTTTTATTGCCAACATCAAAACCTTGCAAATTCTTTCAAAATCTAGCTGTAGAACCTCTTCTGGTTTTAGGTGGTTTGATTTAATTAGCTTTAATAATGTTTTATAATAGTATTATGTTGGGAAATCATATTTTCTCTTTTTCTATTCAATATTTCAGCTTTAAGATTGTAATGGCTTTGCTAAGGCATGACTCTAAAATATAGTCTGAGATTGGTCTAACAAATGGATGTCTTCAGACATATGAGATGTAAAAATAAGAGGAATAATTACACAATATATTGAAAGTTCCATTGAGGAGTCTGTCTCAGTGTTGGAGATGGCTGCTATATCCACTGGCTCCTGAGCAGATTTCCTCTTTGTATGTATTTACATGTAGATGGGTCGGGTCCTCCCCTGAGAGTAGGAGGAAGACAAGCTTTTATTCTAGCACTGTCCTATTTTGCTGTATCACTTCTAAATTTGGCTCTTGGTTTCTTTCATTGTCCATCCCTAAGGTGGCTCTTATATCTCTAACATTTTATGATGGTGGAAGACATAACAACAAAATTGCTAAGTGATTAGTTCAAATTTTTTTTTAAGATTCTATTTATTTATTTGAGAGAGAGTGAGTGAGTGTGTGTGCCTATGCATGCGTGCATGTAGGGGGAGGGGCAGAAGGAGAGGGAGAGAGAGAATCTCAAGCAGACCATGCTGAGCGAGAACCCCATGTGGGGCCCAATCTCACAACCTTGAGATCATGACCTGAGCTGAAATCAAGAGTTGCAAGTTCAACTGACTGAGCCACCCAGGAGCCCCTAGTTCCAATTCTTTTTTTTTTTTTTTAAGATTTTATTTATTTGAGAGAGAGAGAAAGAGCATGAGCGGGGGCAGGAGAGAGGCAGAGGGAGAAGCAGACTCCTCACTGAGCAGGGAGCCTGATGCGGGGCTCGATCCCAGGACCCTGAGATCATGACCTGAGCCAAAGGTAGACACTTAACTTATTGAGCCACCCAGGCGCCCCAGTTCAAATTCTTTAAGAGTAAATTCTATCAAACAAACAGCTACTTTGGAAAAAAAAAGTCCAGCCTCATAAGTCAAGTTGTCTTGTTGACGTGATCATTTGAATCCAGAAACTGTTTTAGCGTAGTTTGAGTGAATGGTTTTATACGTAAATCTACTCTCGCCCATTTTTTAAAAATAGAGGTTTCTGTGAATAAGTCATAGATGAATGAAATACTGGAGTTGTGAAGGACACTGATCTTTCAACTGAAATATGAAAAGGCAAAGGGCAAAATAATAATTCTGGAAATCGGCACAGCAGCCCTTTACCAAATGTCAGAGCGCCGGCTAATGTGTGAAGTGCTTCGGCCGGGCTCGCGGTGACCGCGCTGGGGCCCCGCCTCCGAGAATACACTGGCAGTGGTGGAAACGGCTCACATCTGGGCCACTAACGAACTGCAGAACTGCAAACAAGAATTCCATTGGCGACAGTCAACTAGAGAGTCCATTATAATGTACACGATAACCTAGGTAACCAGCTCAGCACTCGCAAGAGTGAAGGTGAAGACAACCATGTTCGTCTGATAATGGCCTGGAAGGTTTTTCTCATTTAAAAGCAGTCACATCTGACCTTCTCCTGAGCAGGAGGATGGCAGAAATTGACAAATGAGAACCAGGTGAAGAGAAGACAGGACACTTTGCTTCAACAAAGAGCAATTTTATTCCTGTACTAGCGGGAAGGTGTGCGAGATACTAGATAGATTTTTTTGACCACAGTTACAAATGTGCAAATATATTAAGCAAATACATAATTTAAACAGGAAGACTAATGAGGTTCTTTGTTTGAATAGAGTAGGTTAGAAACACAATATTGTGAGGAGGTACAATAGTATGAAAAAATAAAATCATCTACTGCCATTTTAAATAACCAGAGTTGCAGAGAAAGAATACATGATACTAAAAACATAAAAGTGCTCTGTTATAGAACATAGTATGTTCAGTTGCTGGATTTATTTACCGTGTTTATTTAAGCTGCACATAACTCAAGGAATAGCCAGATGCCCCTCCGTGGACGGCAGTGTTATTAGACACTGCCTACCTAACATCCAAAGTATTGGGGCCAGGAGCAGTTTCTACTCAAGGTGCGTATGCTGAACGTATATGAGCTGTGAAATAATTTCTACAAGGTGGCAATAGAGATGAGATTGAAGACTTGATCCTTGGCTTTGTAGAATGTACAAGCCTGATGAGTCCCACGTGGAAGACCAGAGATTAAGGGCTCTCCAGACGAGAACACTGGTACACCCGGTTGTCAGTGTGGCTGAGAGTAGGAACTTTCACGCAGGCCACTGCAGACTGCCCCCGCCCCCCGCCACCAGCTTGCATGGGGTACCCGCTGTACTACAAACCCCTAAAGCCACAACTGAATAGGCTCCCTTTTGTTGGGATGCTTAGCTGCTCACTCAGCTGTTGAAACACAACATCTCGAACATAACCAAAAGCTTGCTCTTGTGAAGATGGTCTTTCCTAAAAGAAATGATTTAAGGCAGAAGACAGCCATAACCAACACTTTTTGTGATGATTCTAGAAGGGGCACATTACATTCGTCTGACGTTATTCACGGTGTTGAGCAACTTATTTTGGTAACATGTAAGATCATGTACATTGGCATATTGGCTAAAAAAATAATCTTTGGTAAACCTGTTAATAGATTTCTTGCTTCCATTACATAAGCCTCTATTTTTAAGAGCATTCACTAACAATTTCCTTATTTCATGAATGTATCTATATAGACAACCTTTACAGAAAATAAAATGCCTTATTTTTGTTGCATACATTTATTCCTAGGGAGCCTCCCTACAAGTCAAGAGTATTCTTTTAGTCAGAAATATTTCCATTGCTAGAAACATTTTTAGAACAGAACAGATTTTTGCTATTACCGTGGCTGTATCAAATGTTACCCTGTATTTTACCTAAAATGGCCACTTTCAAAGGCATCATCCACTACAAGAATCTAAGGTAGTGTGCTTGAATTCCAAGCTTCATCAGTTTAGTCAAACACCTGGCCAATTCACAAAACTAAATGAATTAATTCAATTGCTTAATCGGCTAAATCATCCAGCTGATGAAATCAAAGAGAGCCCCACCCCCCAAAGGATAATAAGTCCTAATAGAAATATGACATTTTCAAAGAACAGTCTGGACACACAAAAAGGATGCCATTTTCTCTTCCTGATGACGCCTGGTTAGATGCCCTTTTTCAGATATTTCCCCTTTTAGTTGTATCATTTCACTTGCTTTCTGCAGTCATGATTTACAGATTTTCCTCTGATATGAAACTTTTTTGAATACTTGATATGATTTGAAATCTCTGGTTAAAAATATTCAGAAGCTTAACAGGGCATTTGGACTGATAATGGCCTTTCCACTCCGACTCTTTAGGAATGACGTAGGGTTGAGGGCTGCTCACAGCCACCTACCTGGGGGAGGATCAGCCATTCCTTCTTGCCACTCTGTCTTGGCTGGTGAATTACTTTCATGTCCTCATGTAACCTGGAAAGTCCTTGAACTACCACCTCAAACAAGCAGCTGTTTTCTATTGCTTTTCACTACCAGGTCAAGTTTGGCGTGGCTCATGTGGCTGAATTAAAACTCTAGAGCCTCCCAGGGTTGGGGCTCAAGTCCTCTCAGTTTGCTGTCACACAGATCTGGCCAGTTTATGACTTCCGGATTCCAACCTCCAAGACTCAGAGAGCTAAGTAATTGGGAATTTAGTATATGGCCAATAATTTTCTTGTAAAAAAATAAGGAGAGTGTTTAATATAAGAAGCTGGATCCTGAGACACTAAGGCAAGAGAATCAGAGTGTGAAGTATAGCATGTGAGGTCTATTTTTGTATTGCTGGACATCTGCTTGGTGGTTTCATATTATTTTCCCATGTCACTTCGGGCTCTCCTCCAAGAGGTAATAACAAAATTAATTAAAGACCCTTCCAAATAAAACTGTCCCCAACATGTCTGTGTGCCATGACCATTTTAGTATTTAAAAGTGAAGCCCTGGTCATCTCTTCTATAATGTGGAGCCTGAAAAGACTATGAAATGCCAGGGGGTTTAAAGAGATAAGATGAACAGAAAATAAAATCACATTCGACTGGGAAAGCCAACATGTTCAAAAAAAGGAGAAGGGAAGAAGTAGTGAAAAAGAGGGACTCAGAAGTGTTAAGGGATGGTGAATTACTTAGGACAAATACGTGCAGGCCCAGGCAGGGAGATGAGTCTTTGAAAAATCTGATTCAAGAGCTAAAAACCTGGCTGCTATCCAGAGAGCAACAGGATGATAATACGAAATCGATTTAATGAGTAGAGATTAAAGGAGATATTATTTATAAAGAACTTGGATAAATAATGATTAAGATTCAAGATGGGACTCTCCCAAGATTTGATGGCTCAAAAGCACTTTGAAGGCTGGATGATTAAAGTGGAGTGCACAGATGCAAACAGGATGCCCACCATGACAGGAAATGGAGTGTTTACCAAGACATACACATGATGGGATTAAATTAAAATACATCCAATTGAGCTGAATGTCAAGGAAACTTTCTCCCTCTCCTAAATTTAATAAACAGATCAACTAGATAATGTATTTAGTCTTTGGTGGCGGCCAGAGGGAAGATAGTGAAATATTTGTTGCTAAGGAGATTTAAAATTAGACAGGTGGAGGGTAGGAATAAACATCTCCTGGATTAGCCTGAAAGAACATACACAGTTTCCCTCGTCGTGTCCATTTCCATAACAGTGATGCCACCCCAGATACACCAGGGTCCGTGAACATTATTTACTGTTACAGATGTGTAGGTTTTTTACAGTTTTAATTCCTGGTTGGTGCAATGAATTGCTTTCTCTTCTACATCCAGTGGTTTGCTAGGGAAGCAGCATCAGCGTCTGGCAGCATGCTGTGCGGAAGGCGGCCACCACCCTGGGCTGCTTGCTTCTTTCACTGGCTCCCCGAGGCTCTCTTTCAAGCTTAATTGGCAATAGTAACAACCACCCTACCTTTTTTATCGTGATGCATTTTCTTTATTGAGTAGAAACATGTCGCTTCTAGGACAGTGCTTAGCCGGTTACAGGCAATTAGTAAAACTTTTCTGAATGAATGAAAGGCCAAAAACAAATTTCTCTTTCCATGTGGTAATGTGCTTTGTGCCAAGCAACGTTAGTTTAAAAATCTGTTGTTTTTCCCTTGCTTTTTCTTTTCAATGCAGGGAAAGTTATTCCTACTAGACGCCACATCTCATAAATCTCTGACCTCTATTTTCTTCCTGCTGGTACCTCTGCCACCCTTACGTATATATTGTTCCTTTTCATTTCTAGAAGATCCACCTAGTTCCCTGAAACAGAAGCAGAGCCTATCACTGCTATTTCACAAGGGCATTGAGCACAATGAGACTGTGAAAACTTGGAATCCTTTTATTACTCTTCACATTGATTCTTAGAAAGTTTCCCCCTGTTTTTATAAACTTCAAGTAGCCCTGGAAATTTTTCTGGTGTGTGTGGAAATTTACATAACCACAGATAACTATTTTGGATATATTTAATGATTTTCATTTACATGCATTATATTACTTATGGGATTTTATTGTATGTAGCAAAAATACATACTTTAAAAAGAAATGTATTCTTTCTGCAGTTGAAGCTGTAAGGTCAATGACGTCCATCTCTAATTCTTAGGTTTATCGTGGAGAGATCTGTAAGTGAGAAAAAGGCGAACATCCTGGCTCCTTTCTCAAGTAGCCATGAAGATTTCATACAGATAACTTTCAAATTGTCCCCAGGAAGACCCTCAGAACTGGAGCTTGAGGAGGGCAATGCCCACTTTCTAACCCACGGAAATTTGTTAAAGTCAAAATAGGCACAAATACTGAAGATACACTCGGCTTTTATGTCAAATGCACCTTCAGGTGACTACTGATATTTTGACCTCAGTGATTTACTAAAAAAGTCTTTTGGGAATTTCTATATTAAGCACGACTGAGTTTTGTTTTGTTTTTTTTAAATGTACTATATCTGATGTTTGTGGACATTTCTATAAAGATGTTAATACCAAGTCCTTTGATCAGAAATATAATCTGCCACAACAATCTTCTTTTAATGGGAAAACCCAAGATGAGTGACATAATTTTGACCTTTCCAGGAATGCAGCCCACTAGAAATAAGACAAAGATGAGTATGTGTGCATCAAGCCACTCAGTCCAGTATGGGTAGGCATGCCCCCACACTGCGACTGCAGTGACATAATCTCTAGTCACTCTGGATGGCACTTTGCATGTCAATTTTGTTTCCACTCAGGGGTACAGGGGGCATTCTTCTTGATATAAGAAATTCATCACTTCTGTTTGGATTGTTCTCTATCAGAATCCTCAACCCTGAAGCCTGGACTTCTCTGCAAGTTACATGGTCCCTGAACCGACCACTTTGGCTTGAACCTCTGGCAGGAGAAAGGGGAGAGATAAACTAGTTTAGGGATAACCACCTATTTCAGCTTTGGGGCTGCCTAACCCCTTTCCCCCAATCCTTTTTTGACTATTACGTTTGTCCAAATAGCATTTGGATCATCTTTGGATCCCTAGGTTCCTAGAAGAGCAATGCAGGAAAGCCAGCTGTATTACGTGCTTTCCCCAGCCCTGCCTTTATCCTGACCAGCGAATATCAAAGCAGGTCAAAACCATGGCCCATGGGATTGTCCCTGCAACCCCTTCCATCTACATTTTCCCAGTAGTCCTGTCATACAGGTTGAATTAGTTTATGTAGAACAATACATGAACACTTTAGTGTGGAAAAATAGTATTATATAAAGCTTAATATTAAACATTATGAAAAAATACATATTTACAGAAGAAACTACAAAATACAACTATGTACAATAATATCTGTTACCTTTAAATTACATAAATTCTTTAAAATTCTCCAGATTAATAAATTATACATAGTATCAACAGAAATAGTTGGCACCTCTGTAGGGCAAGAAGCAAATTTTTTTGTTTTGTTTTGTTTTGTTTTTAAATCACACAGTGAATAGTTTTTATCCGAGAGATCTTCAGATACATTCTCAATGCCTTGAATAGCCCGGGTCTGAAAGGAAGGACATTGTGGTTAGAGATGGAGCAGGATGTCTCATAGCTGTTTGTTCCATTTATGAAGATTACAAATGGATACGACTAGCAGAAATGACTAAGGTTCAATATGGTTTAGGATGAGACCATTGCTGTGGGGTCCATGTCGTTCCATTGAGAACCACAGATCACTAGAATTGGAACGGACTAGTAATTCTAGTCCATCCTCTCTGATTATATGGATGAGCCCACGGGCCCAGAGAGGCAGAGTAACTCACTTAGGGTTACACAGCTTGGTAATGCTAGTTAGCTCCAGAGCTAGGACCTGAATCCTAACTTTTAGACACTTGAAGCTAACCAAACCATAAAAGATGGCTCTTTCAGGAGCACCCAAGATGACTCAAAAAAAAAAAAAAAAATACTCTCACACAAGTCATAACAAGACAAAGAAAGCTCCCAGATCCCCCAGAGCTCCCACCATCCTGGAGCTTCTTAAAGAATGTGACATGCAAAAACCTTAATTTACTATACAGATACATTAGGGGGTAATTATTTATAATACAAGAGAATTATCGATTGACAAAGACCCCTTTAAATGGAAGCTCTCTCATGTATATGTGCTTCACAGATTATTAATTATGTAACATACTGGCTCGGTGGGCAGATACAGAGGTGCAGAGAAATAAAGAAAATTGAGGATCAGTTAGAAATGGAGATAAAATAACTGAAATAATGTTTTGAGAATGATCTGACTTATAGATGGACATGGGTCCCTGTGGCAAGGAACTGAGACCTAAACCAACAGCCGTGTGAGTGTGCCTTCTTGAAGTGGACCTCCCAGCCCCAGTCAAGCCTTCAGATGACTGCAGCCCTGGCCAACATCTTGACTATAGCATCATGAGTGACCCTGGGCCAACACCACCCAGCTACACTCCTCCCACATACCTGATCTATAGAAACTGTGAGATAATAAATGCTGAGCTAAACTGCTAAGTTTTAGGGTAATTTGTTAGGCAGTAATAGATAACTAATACAGTGTAACTTCAAATTTGCAGTTAGCCTTTGTGATAAATTAGGTCTAAATGATGGTTTAGAGTGGGAAAAGGCATGAAGACCCTTTACTTGTCAAATAATTATTGTCTGATCAAAGCAGTGACTTTGAAAGTTTATACATTCATTTTACCAAAATTTTTATTAAAAAAATATTATATGCTTGTTCTAGAAAATGTAGTACATAAAACAGAAAAAAATCATATATTATTTTACTGCTCTGAGAACTTTACTACTGTGGTTTATTTCTTTCTAGTCTTTTCTCCCCCCATGTGTTGTTTTTGTTTGTTTTACATTCTACTTTTTTTGTTGTTGTTAGAAAGAGAGAGAGAGAGAGAGAGAGAGAGAGAGATGGGGGAGGGGCAGAGGGAGAGGGAGAATCTTTTTTTTTTGTAAAAGATTTATTTTTTAGAGAGAAAAAGAGAGAGAGTACAAGCAGGAGGGGCAGTGGGAGAGGGAGAGAGAATCTCAAGCAGACTCTGTGCTGAGCATAGAGCTCGATGCAGGGCTTGATCTCCTCCCCCAGGATCACGACTTGAGCCAAAACCAAGAGCTGGACACTTAACCGACTGAGCCATTGGGGCGGCTTTTTTTTAACTCAACATATTTATAAGAATATCCATGTCATATAATCATCAAAAATAGCATTTTTAATGACTGCATTGTATTCTATTAAATGAATGCACCATGGTGTACTTAGTCCTCCACTGTTAAACATTTGGGTTTTTTTTCACTTCAACTTTTAGCTATAAAAATCGTCATGAATAAAGCTTTTTCAGTACTTAGGTGATAAGACAAGGACACAGTGAGGACTTCGATGCATATGGCCAAATTCTTCTGCAAAGGGATTTTTTTTTTAAAGATTTTATTTATTTATTTGACAGAGAGAGACACAGCGAGAGAGGGAACACAAGCAGGGGGAGTGGGAGAGGGAGAAGCAGGCTTCCCGCGGAGCAGGGAGCCCGATGCGGGGCTTGATCCCAGGACCCTGGGATCATGACCTGAGCCGAAGGCAGACGCTTAACGACTGAGCCACCCAGGCGCCCCTTCCAAAGGGATTTTACAGTCTGAATCCCCAGTTGTGAGTTCAAAGCATCTTCCCCAGCAAAGTGCCTTAGAAAAGAAATGTTAAGCAGAATCCTGAAGAGAGGGCATCCCCAGCCAGATAGGAAGAGCTTCCATGTGCAGTTGGTGCTCAGCTGTGGTGCTCCCTCCCCACTCTGCCTCTCCTCCCCATTGTCAATCTCTAAGGGCCTTTGGGCGGAAGAAGAAAGGGCTGGTGCACTTGGGAAGAACTTGAGGTTATTATTGGTTTCCAGATGCATCATATCTTGATAAATGAATTTATAAGTCAATGGAGTAAGTTCCTACCTCTGTGATACTCTGGATTCACATTTTCGTAGATTGGAAACAGGGGGTTTTCTTGCTCACTCCGTAGCTTCCTTGCTCTGAGGACATCTCTTACGCACTGATGTAGGTATACATACTGACACTATGAAAAAGCAGAAAACATGTCAGAGGAAGGCAAATTCTTAAGCATAAGAAAGAGGAGACACACTCACAAAGCTTCAAGAGTGCTGGGATTCTATATGGTTAGCAAATTTCTCGATCATTTCATGAACGGTCTCTAGTACATAGAAGAGTGCTTTCTACTAGCACTAAGAAGAGATTAATGGTAATGAGGAGAGAGGTGGTGTTTATTTATTCTTTTTTATGTGCATGTGTATTTGTAGAGTATATTCCATGAGTACCTAGAATTATGTCTGGCACATAGTTGGTCCTCCACAAATATTTATTAAATAGACGACTGAATACCAAACACTGTACGATGCGTTTTACATAAATTATCTCATTTGATTATTTTGACAGTCTTATGAAGTAGGTATAACCATCCATAGGAATGAAGACTCAGAGAAGTTAAGTAACTTCTTACATAACCAAGAAATGGAACCCTAGCATTTGATCCTAGGGTTCATATTCATGTTCTTTTCATTATACCAGTTTTCTCAGATGAATCCTAATTTCATTGCATTATTGAATGAGAAAATCATTTCACTGCATACTCTGCTGCTTTGGTTCCTTTCTTTTGGGAGGATAGTGAAAAAAAGAAGGTGTATATAATAGATCCCACTGGACTGTCAGTTCTTTGAGGGCAAGGTCAGTGTCTTCTCTCTCTTGGTTCTCTCAGCATCTGAGACTGGCCCAAGGGAGAATCTCAAAGAGGCTGGCTGATGACAGAGAACTACAGAGGGTTACATAGTGAGAACAGACTCACCTCTGTCAACTCTCTGGGAACTAACTACTTTTGAAATAGAAACAAAGATAGAAGAGTCAATGTTTTGGTGACCATAAAAACACACAAAAACCTTCACTTGACAACAGAGGTTTAGACAAAGGCTTCCTTCCTTACTACCAACAGAGCTGTCTAGTAAGGGAAAGAATGTCCACATAACTTCACTGCTTGGCCTTGAGCTCCCTTAGTGACATAGCAACTGCTCAGAGCCCAGGGAAGGAAGCACAACAGCACACAAGAGACACTGGCTCTTCATCTGCCTCCAGCTGGCCTAAACTGAGTCACAAGGCTTCTCGGCAAAGATCTAGAAAACATCTGAGGTCTCTTCTAGAAATAACATCCTTTGACCACTAAAGGGTATGAGACTCTGTGTTGCTGTCAATTAGATGGATACTGAAAACCATTCTTGGACCCCATGTTTAAGGTGATCAATGTGTTATCTTAAAGTGTTTTAAAGGTTTGAGATACAAAGTGAGACTATAAGATCTTCCCTCACCAACAAACTTTAGAAGTGGAACAGTATTTATTTTCATGGGTTGACACTAAGCATTGCCCCTGATGGGAAGCTAGCCTGGTCATCTACCAAAGGGACTTCATAATGTAGGTCCGGTATAGTCATTAGATGAGGACATTTCAAAGAAATAAATCAATCATAAGTGAAGCGTGCTTTAATATTAACTATTCTACCCTTTTCTGAGTGTTATGAGTGTTTTATGCCACCATGAAAATTCAAGGAGGGTAATGTCCTGAAAATGGTTGTTAGTATAGACAGTTTCTTTTTGCCATCTTGAACACAATCTACCAAATTATAGACAGACATTTCCTGTTTCCTTCCATCCCAAGCATGATTCATATTTGCAACTGTACTGGGATATTAAATTACTTTGGGACCTTAAAGTTCAACTATGAATGAATTCTATTACATCTACACTATGCCTTATTAATAAATTCTTCAACAATGATCCACAATGGGCTTTGAAGCCAGTTAATATTCATTAATTTGACTAGCCTTAAATATAAATTCTTCTTCTCCCAGTAGAATGTCCTTTTGAAAATAATTACCCTAAACCTTCAGACAGTTAATGTGTTTCCCACTTTATTCTTAATGAAAAATAGAATCTAATATATGAACCTTGGATTATAAAAGATAATTTTTTGCTCTAGCTGACTTATGAAACCTCAATTCCATTCAATTTCCCCAGAAGTTGTAGTACTAGATAGTATTTATAGAATTATACTTCTAGCTTTTCATAGTCCCTGAGTTCACAGTTTAGCAGAGGGGCAGATATGTGAACAAATAACTACAAGGTGATAAATATAAGATAGAATTGTATATAAAGCTTCATATATAAGAAGAAATCATCAGGTTCACTTCTGGGGGAGACAAGTATCAATCTAGGGAGAAAGGTAAAAATTTGAGCCAAGAAGTGGGACATTCCAAGTGATGTAAATAACATGAATGTGCACATCTATTCTGGAAACTGTAAGCCGTCCAGCATAGGTAAAATGTAGGGTGCATGGGCCATGGGAAACCCCAAAGACAGTCTCCCAAGTGGGCACCGAGAAGCTTATTCCTACCACATCCCACTGTTTCCTCCTGCGGGAAGCAGAAGAGATGAACAGACTGTGACTGTCAACTCTTGTTCTTTAACATCTTACTGCTTCATCTGAGTGTGTCCCTGGGAGTCAGGCTGCAAATTTCCCCTAAGGCAGGCTAAAGGAAAGAGGGACATGTTTGAAAATCCCGTGTCTGTTGTCTCTTTGTTTAGAAATCCTTGTTCTTGGATATATTTATTAAAATTTGTGAAGACTCTTTATATCCCAAATAAGGTGGAATAAAATTAAAGTTGACTATCCCCATGGACCCAGAAATGGGATACACAGGGTCTGAATGTCTTTCCTTCTTTGCTTCCTTTGGCTCAGTGGTGGATCACACCTCTCTGCACTCACTCCCAGCACCAAGCAAGTCATACCTGGGCTGGGGCCAGGGCTTCCAAGACCAGAAGAAGCCCACTGTGGGCAAGGAGTTAAAACAGGACAAACTGAGGGTTGCTGGAGTGGTGGAGGGTGGGAGGGATGGGGTGGCTGGGTGACAGACTTTGGGGAGGGTATGCGCTATGGTGAGCGCTGTGAATTGTGTAAGACTGTTGAATCACAGACCTGTACTTCTGAAACAAATAATACATTATATGTTGAAAAAAAAAAAAGAAGATAGTAGGAAGGGAAAAATGAAGGGGGGAAATTGGAGGGGGAGATGAACCATGAGAGACTATGGACTCTGAGAAACAAACTGAGGGTTCTAGAGGGGAGGTGGATGGGGGGATGGGTTAGCCTGGTGATGGGTATTAAAGAGGGCACGTACTGAATGGAGCACTGGGTGTTATACGCAAACAATGTATCATGGAACACTACATCAAAAACTAATGATGTAATGTATGGTGATTAACATAACATAATAAAATAAAAAAACCAAAAAAACAAAAAACCCAGGACAGATGGTATCTGAATACTGTCTGGGATTTCATTTGATAAGATTAAAAAAAAATGGAGAGACGAAACATCTACCATAATATTTATTTCATTATAATCAAAAGAATCAAAATTGATTTTGACCTCGGGAGGGAAATCTTCCTTAATTTTGGCAGACCCTAAAACAATGGGCAAGAGATGTTATGATATGGAGAAGTAAGTTGGGGGCCTGGTTATGAAGAGGCTTGTTTACAGCAAGGATGAGAGTTTAAACTTCATTTTAACACAATGGAGAGCTTGCCAAGGTTTTTATGCAGGGAGCTGACACAGGCAGCAAAAGCACTGTGTTGGTGGCTGTGAGACAAAGAGTTGTTAGGGCAGAGGCTGGGGGCAGGGGACACACTAAGAGGTTCCCACAGAAGGCCCCGGTGAGGGCTAACAGCTGAGCGAGGCCAGTGGCGGTTCGGTGGGGGACTAGAAGGAAGAGAAAGATGGTGGGTGCAACGGACAGGACTCCATGACTGCTTAAATGTGGGAACCATGGGAAGAGAAGTCAGAATCCTAGCTCGGGCCAACAGATGGAGGGCAAGATGATGGCAACCCCATTACCTGAAACTGGAAGAAGCAAGAAGGGGAGGGGTGCTTTCATTGTTATTGTTTGCTTAAAGACAGATAATGAGTTCAGCTTTGAATTTTTTTGAGTTTGAGATGACCGTAAGGCTTGCAGGTGGAACTGTTTGGTAGGCAGGTACTTAGGTCATTGCTGGAAAAGGAGAATGAGATTTGGGAAACAGGAGCATGTACATGGTTCTTCAAGCCATGGGACATGACAAAGAATGAAGGCTAAGAGAAGGAAGAGCAGCACCTTGAGGGCAGAACCTTGGGGAACTCAAACGTTAAAACGGCAAACTCAGGAACAAGAGCACAGAATCCTCAGAGGTTAGGAGGAGGAGGGGGAGGGAACAGTGGGAAGAAGGAGATATACCCAAGAAGGAGGAAGGGCTATGGCACACTGTGACAGCCCTGCCCCGGAAGTCTGCCAGTGATATTTATGATAAGAGTGCCTGCTCTTTGCCTCAGTGCATCTCCAGAGCTCTGGGCAGATGGATGCAAGTGACACATGACCCAAGAAGTCCCCGACAATAACACACACACACACACACACACACACACACGCACACACATTCCTCAAGACCACTTACAATGTGATAATCTCCCCAACCCCAAATTACAAATTAAATATGATTTGAGTTTATAAATATGACAATAAATAATGAAACACCGGTCCTAACTTTTTAGCAACATAATTATAGGATATTTGTTCATTCATTTAACAGGTAAAAAGAAAAAAATGTGCAGATTGAGAGAAGGAAAACAAATTCCTAATCTTTTGGAACTGGCAGTCTTCTGGAGAAAGATGAAGGATAAAAATTATGACACAATGGGATATAACTGTGCAACCCTTCATGAAATGACAGAGCTCGACAGCTGTCTTCAGGTCCACAGTTGGGGAAACTGTTTAAGGGAAAGGCTACTGGGAAATGTTACAGTGGATGGTCAATGTCAATTTCATCAGCACAAAAGAGACACAGACAGGAAGTGCCTCCTGATGTGATGCAACAGGAAGTACTTAGCACCACCCGTACATCATTGTGGTGATAAAAAGAAATCTGAGTTTAATGGAACCTCTAGATCTAATGACCTACTGACAAAAATTATAGGAAGTAGAGGAATATATTAACACCACGAAAAAGCAGTCAAATCCAGGATATGGGAAAATCTATGGAAAAAATGAACTGGTGTCTTTAACAAATAAATAGCTTGGAAAACAAGGGAGCGTTATTATAGATGTGAAAGAGACTTGGACGAAATGCAGGGTGTGGACTTTGTTTGGATTCTATGGAAACTAAGTGTAAAAAGTAATCTTGAAATAATTAGGGGTATTTAAACACTGCCTGGATGTGAGATGATATTAAGGGATTATGGTTAAAATTGTTAGGTGTGATAATGGTATTCTGGTCACAATCTGTAAAGAGTCCTTATCTATAAAATTTCTGCATATACAGCATTTAAGGATTAAATGGTTTGATAAGTAGGATTTGCTTTAAAATTTTCCAATAAGGTCATGGGGTAGGGGAATAGTATATGTGGGATATAGATGGAAAAAGAACACAGATTACTGATAATTGTAGAAGCTGGAGTTTAGGTGCATGGAAATTCACTATACTATTTTTCCTAGTTCTATGTATTTAAAAAAATTCCATAGTAAAATATTAAAAGTATAGTGTAGTAACTGTTATATTGAAAGTACTCCCAGCCCAGGACAATCGCAGTGACAGAGGGTCCGAGGTGTGGCCCCTGCCTACAGGAAGACACGGTGCTAGTATTTTTCCAGATGTGTTAGAGAATATGAGATCTGCAGGATATTAATATGGGCTGCACAAGAAAAGAATCCAGCAGTCAAAGTGGTTTGGGGAACAGTGGGTTCAGCAAAGCTCACGGGGAGCCTTTGCTGCAGGATGTCCCTGTTTTGTGGAGCATACCACCTCCCCAGTTTTACTGCGTACTGTAACAGTAAGAGGATATGGCAGCGGGTAGGGCTTTTCATCTTTTTGACTGTGGGAATTTTTTTTTTTAAATGCATAGAGGACTTTGCAGAGTTACTTGGGAAACACAAGGGTAAGAGAACTTGAGTCTTGTAAGGCAACTATGTGGGGGAGTAACAGGCTTGGCCTATGTGGGGGCACAGATCCGACCCTGAGGCTGTGGGGCTAAGGGCTTGGGATTCTCTCGAACAGGTTCAAGCCCCAGCTTGGCCACTTCATAGCTGTCCAAAGGCCTTTAGCCTCTGCACCTCAGTTTTGTAGCCTGGAAATGGAAAATGATAACTCTCCTCTTTGGTTTTTTATGAATTTAATAAAATAACATGTTTAAAAATGCCCTGCAAATGTCAGAGGACAGGACAGATGAAGCATTTATCCTTTGGGACCAGTGTGTACTTGCCTGGGGTCTCCAGAGATGGGTGTGCAGCTAGGGTGGGCTGGGGGAGAGAAGAGACTGTAATGTGCTCACTCACAAGCCTATCTTAAAATGATGTTCAAGATGGATGGGCGTGGCCCTTCCCCCATATGGACCACGCATTGATTTAAAAAAAAATCCATCTTGCTTCCTACCCACATAAAGAAGATGGGCAACCAGCTCATTAGAGGTAAGGGTACACCAGGCACCTCAAGGTCACTGAAATTTGTTTTAAAATAACAAGTCCTACAGAATGTCTATATTCAGTTCTCTTCCTCTTCTTAATGAGTCATAGTTATTTGCCCTTGTCAGATGAAAGCCTGGGACATCTGGGGGGAGAGAGGCAGGAAGGGTGGCCGGTGTCCTTCAGCCTGTAACTCTTACCTCAGTCTGGACCATGTGAACCCTGTGAAGTCTTAGGTCATTCACGGCTCCGTAAATGTCCACGGAGTCTTTGGAGTCTAATTGCTGGAGGATTCGGTCCAATGCAATAAAGGTTCCAGTCCTACCCACACCGGCACTAGGATAGAGAGTGAGGGAAGACTTTGATTAAATTGGCCTTTCAGGACTGCATCCCGAGACTCCAGGACCGTCCTTCTTTTCCCTTCCAAGTTATGGGAGAATGAAGGAATCCTTCTTTCTCTCAATGAGCTCTCTCAAAGAAAAGTCCCACCTTTTCATCTCTTTCTCCTTCCTTCCTCCACCTCCCCCACCCCGCCAGGGCTAAGTGGTGCTCTGCACCTAGTGTGTGTCATTTCCATGCATATTGTATACTTTTCCTGAATACATGTAAAGCCATAAACAATTTATTAAAATGGTAACATGTTTTATTTTTATTTTTATTTTTTTATTTTTTTTTATTCATGAGAGAGCGAGAGAGAAAGGCAGAGGGAGAAGCAGGCTCCCAAGGAGCAGGGAGCCCAATGCGGGACTCGATCCCAGGACCCTGAGATCATGACCTGAGCCGAAGGCAGACGCTTAACCATCTGAGCCACCCAGGCGCCCAGTAACATGTTTTATATATCCTTTTGCTGACTTTTTTTTTTACTCAATATAGTGTTTTGAGATTTATCCATGTTGTTACGTGCAGATCCACTTTCTTTTAGCTTGTCCTCAGAGTTCCTACACCACCGCCAATCCATCCCCTGCTGATCTATTCTCTACTGATAGACAAGGAGATCATTTTTTAAAAAAGATTTACTTATTTGAGAGAGAGAGAGAGAGAGGGAGCAAGGGGAGGGGCAGAGAGAGGAAGAGAATCTCAAGCAGGCTCCAAATTAAGCACAGAGCCGATGCAGGGCTCGATCTCATGCCCCAAGATCGGGACCCCAGCGGAAACCAAGAGTTGGACGCTTAACCGATCAAGCCACCCAGGTGCCCCAATAATGAGATCATTTTTAGTTATTCTCTTTGAAAGACTGTTGCAGTGAGCCTCCTTGTGCACAAGAGTGGGGATTTCTCTAGGGTTGAGGTCTAGAAGCAGAACTGCTGGATCCTAGTGTGTGAACACCTTCAGCATCACCAGGGGTGGCTGAATTGCTCCCCAAGGTGACTGTATAGCCTGGGGATTTGTGATGCACAGATTTATAAGATAAAAGAGAACTGTTCTCCAGTGGTACGGGCAGAAATGCCGCCCATTCTTCAGAAAGCACTCTTGAGTGCCTCACATTCCCATTAAAAGCATCAGGGTTCCAATGACATAGAAAAGCTGGGCTCCTAGGGTGCTGGGCTGATTGGGAGAAAATGAGGGCATCTGACATTTCTCTTACTGGAGCAATTCTCTGCTCTTTATTTCTTAATGCCATTTGGCTAGGGCTATCAAAGTGTTGCTGCAAACACTAATTAGCTAAACACCAGGCTCCCCAGAGAGGAAGAGAGAGGGATTGCTTGTTAGGCTGATTTTATGAACATGCAGTCTAAAGCAAAGAGAAGTCAAGAGAGAAGCAAAATTTTAAGAGCAAAATTGATGGCTACGCATGGCAAGTGCTACTGGACCAGGAGGGAGGTCTGGAGCAGGGATCCAGAAGGAGCCTTAGGGTTTACATGGGTGGAGGAGAGAGGTTAGGCCACTCCAAGGAGTAAGAATGGCAAGAGTCGAGAATATGCAGGTTCTCGGAGAGCACGAGAGCGGGGTTTCTGGGAACTTGGATAGGGAGTCACGCAGGGACTTTGCCTTTTGTACAGTAGCAAAAAGAGCAAGAGGGAGACAGAGAGGGCTGGAGAGTGAGGGTGAGAGAGTGGCGGAAGGTGGAGAAAGTGAAGAAGAGAGAAGACAGCATGATCATATCCCTAGGCAGGCTGGTTGGCGTAGACAGACCCCCCCGCAGGCCGCCCATGTTATTGGCTCCTCGTCGTCCAGTACCTGCAATGCACCACGGTGGGCCCGGCGCCGGGGCTCCTGCTGATGTAGTCCCTGACGGTTCTCACAAACTGGATCAGGGACTGGGTGGTCTCTGGGACCCCGTGGTCTGGCCACACTGTGTAGTGAAAGTGGCGGATGAGCCTGTGTGTGTCGAGCTGTTCCTCCTGTAAGAGCAGAGAGGATGATAAAGGGAAGGAGCCAAGGCAAAGCTTCAAGTGTGACCACTGTGACCATGCAGCAGGTCCTGGGAGCCGAAACTACAGGGGGGGAGGCAGCAAGAAGAGGGAGTCATGGGCGTCCTGCATCTCTCCAAGCTGGGGTGTTTAGTGCCGTCAAACAGCCAAACATACGCTGCATATCCTAAATTCCCGGATGGTCCACTCGGGCAGCACAGACTCTGAGAGCATCTGCAGGATGAGGTCCCCGTAGTAGAGGGAATCTTGGTCTGCTGGCCAGTAATGGTCACACTTCACCTAAAGGAAGACAGAGGAAAAAGACGTGAGTCTGGAAACGTGACTCCCCTGCGAACCTGGATGCTTCCTTCTTGAAATGTCTTCCCGAGCTGGAATCTAGGGTCAGCTGCTGGAGCATTAGCCCATCGGCTCTGCATCGACGTGCTCAGGGCCAAGCCAGCCTGCCGCTGTTCGGGGAGCGGAGCCCTGCCCTTCGGTGTCCCCTCCCTCATAGGCACACTGCTGCTGTGCCTGCACTTTTTGTTGGTGTCCTTAGCATCTCAGTTCCACGCCTCATAACCCGTATGGTCCAATGGTTCTTTCTTAGCTGGGCAGAGGGAGGCCATGTCTTCCTGGCCCCTGTTTACGTTTAATATCACTGTCCTAACCTGGACCAAGTGCCATGTGCCACGGGGTCCCTGAAAAGTCACAACATTTAGCTGAGCTCCAATTTCCATGTAGGAAGCCAGGAGAGAGAATTATGACCATGTACTTACTGACCACTGATACTGGGCATTTTATATACCTCTTTTTTAATCCTTCAAATAACCATATGAAGTACAGGACTGTAAGTGCAATACAAGAGGTTTGCTTGATTTGGCCAGAGAACTATTTCACTTTGGGTCTGCAGACACAGTCTAGAGCCCGCTTCTTGTCTCCTACAAGAAGGGACAGAGCCATGCCTCTGGCCAGCTATACACCGAAGGCCCGAACAGACAAGGGGCCACTTACGCTTTCTGCGTCACAAGCACTTCTGATGGTCCCAGTCTTCCCCTGGAAACACCTCAGACTGAAACTTCAGGCCCAGAATCAGAAGTGGGCATCGCCCATGTAAGCCTTTTATAACTGAGTGGCTTAATTCACTAGCAATGTTCTCACATGATCCCTCCTTGGCTTTTGTGGGGTTTAACTCTTGATGGTGGGGTAGGATTCCATTCTGGTGGCGGCACTAAGCAACACTCGGAAGTCAGGGAGACTGTTTACTCACTCGGCCCTTCTCCACACACTGGGTCACCATGACGATGTTGTGAACATTCTGTTCCCATGCCATTTTCCAGAAGTCATCCTTGGTGCCAGGAAGAGGTCCCTGAGTAGCAATGTATTCTCTTCTGAAGTTGTTGCCCTGTGATGAATTTACAATACGGAGAGTCAAAAACAATGGGCCTCGTCTGAACGATAAACAGAGGGTTATCTCTGTAGATTAGATGATATATAGGTCTTTGCCAGATCCCTGACTTGAGAAAAAGATACTAACACAAGTGTCAAGGCTTGGGAGCAGGAAGGAAAAGGCCAGAACACTGAACTATTGTTAAGAGCCAACTTCCCATTTATTAGGCTGGGTCTATTCTAAATGGCAATGGAGGACTCGGGCAATAATCTAGAGAATGCTTCACTCTTGGGGTGTGTGTGTGTGTGTGTGTGTGTGTAGACTATTGATGGTGTGTGTGTGAGGGACTGACTTCCTCAGGCTCTTCCCCTATTCAGTGCAGAAGAGTTTTAGTCATCTTGGATAACTGACAATTAGAGTGCTGGTAAGAGATGTGATACAAGGGAAACTTCAGGGAAGGGAAACCACGGGTTATCGAGCATCTACCATATAACACGTGGTGGGTCAGGACTTTCCACAGATCTTATTTAATCTGAACCATAACTCCCGGGAGCTAGGATATTTCCGCCCACTTATTCTGCACTCCGGCAAGACAGAATTACTCGCAGCTCCAAGCTGAAGTTCCTTCTCTCCTTGCCTCTCCTCAGGGCCCCTGCATTGTGTCAACTCTGCCACCCCCACGCCTGCCCACCCAAACCCTGCGACTCATCTGGTCAGTCCCTCTTTATCCTCCACGTCTCAGCATGGTGCCTGCTCTGCTGAGCCGTCCTTTGTCATCCACCCTGTCCGCCCTGCCGGCTGGTTGTCTCCTCCCAGAAGCTCCCCTAGCAACCCTAGCCTCTTGCTCCTCAGAGAAAGGTCCTCAGACCTGCAGCAGGGGGATGACCTGGGAGCTTGTGAGACAGGCAGAATCCCGGCTCCCCCCAGCCCCACTGAATCAGAATCTGCATTTGAACAAGACCGCACGTGGTGCAGATGTATGTTAGTGCTGGAGAAGGCAATGTCTCTCTAGCCTGTTTCCCATGGCGTCACCTTGTCATTTCCTGATGCCCGACTCTGCTGAGACTTCTCTGACCGCCTAGTTACTATTTAACTAGATAGGGTTTACTGAGTGAATGAATGGCTATTTGAGGTAAATATTACCATCCTCATTTTTTGGAAAAGAAAACAAGAGCCCCCAACAGGTGACCTAACTTGCCCACGAGTCAGCAAGGGGTAGAGAGGGGAGTCAAAGCTGGAGCTGTCTGATCTTACAGCCTTTCCCACTGTAGTGCACTGTGGGAGGCTGGCAGGATGCTAGCCAGAATCTGAGCCCAAAGGTTTGACACAACCTTTGAGCTGTGTCTTTGGGTTTCAAAAATACAAATGACGTCGAATCAGCTCCCCCTCCCTAGGCAGCGTGAGCAGTGAATAGAGCTTCCTGAGGGAGCTCTCATCTTGGCTAAGGGCTGCAGAGAGAAAACCACCTTTCGCTGTGCTTCCTGGGCTGCTTATAATCCCGTGTCACTCCAGCCATTGTGAAAATAGGCCCTAGCTGTGATAGAATTGCACACCCTGGGCTTTATGGCAATCAGACACGGTCTTCTAAAATCAGTACGCGTCCACACCTGAAACAGTGGGAGCATGTGGGAGGAACGGTGTCTGCAGGGTCGCCACCTGTCAAAGCTTTATCCCAGGCGCTATGGCTTTATGGTTCACTTACAGGGATGTAGCTGGCATTGATGTAGTCTGAGCATGGGTCATCATCTACATTCGACAGCTTCACTCGAGAGGCATCATCTGGAAGGAAGTTGATTGAGAGAGATTTGTCACTGGGTCCTGGGAGGATTTTTCTATTGTTGATGTAATGCTTGGTATCTGACGTGCATTAGCTCTAACCGGCCCCCCCAAAACACCCCACAGGGAGGTATTCTCATCTCCATTTTGCAGATGAGGTTCAGACAGGATAACCGGCTTGCCCAGGTCACACAGGTGGCCCATAAACACACAAAGAAGCCAAATGCTCTCTGAGGCAGCCTCTGCACTTTCCTTCATAACATGATACCATTTGCCTGATGGAGCGGCCAGCTCCCTTTCACAGCTGGAATGAATACAATACAGAACAACCATCTTCCATTGCTTCACCGGATCGGGTCGGGATAATAAAAATATACAATAATCGCTAACGGGGGACTTTAAGGAAACCCACACTGGCCTTTGCTGTTAGGGAGAAGCAGTGGGACCATAGAATGAAATGTCAACAGCATGAGAGGCGTCTCCTACCCAGAATTCAGAATTGTTACCCCATGGGAGGGAAGCTCAATAACATTCCTTTTAAAAGGCATTCAGAGCCTCTGCTCTTCCATATCCAACTATACCATATTTCTTCAGCCCCATTTTATTCCTGGAAAAGAGAAGCAACGGCTGGAGGAAGATAGTATTACAAATTTCAACACAAAACTCACAGGGCAATATATTGTTGTATCGATTTTTCCCTCTATTCTCCGGCAAGAGCGCAATGTCACATGATTGGTTTCGACCCACATCTTTCAAATCCTATTAGGTCAAAAAGAAGTTTGCAAATGGAGAATGTGAAATAGAATAAGGCAAATCATACAGTCCTCGAGATACGTAACGATCTAAGAATATGTCACAATAGCTACTGTTTACGGAATGCCTCCTATTGGATGTGCAGGAGCTCTGATCCCCACAAGAGCCTCAAAGGAGGCATCCTCACCTCCATTTTACAGATGAGGCTCAGACCAGATAACTCACTTGCCCCAGGTCACACGGGTGGCAAAGCTGAGAGTCGAATCCAAAGCCTGGGCACTTGTCACCACACCACCTTGTCTCCCAGTCAAGCAAAATGCCAGGTTAAGTAATTGACAGAATTAGGTTTACATTTGAGATTTGTTCATTCTTCCTTAACATCTTGCCCAAGTAGTACTTCGTTGGCTGTGCTATTCTGGAGATCAGACTGGCCTCTGAGACTAGGTGGGATATCCCACAGAGAATGGATCCTGCACGTCATCCTGACTCCTGAGCCCGATCAGCCTGTGACTCCACAGGAGAGATTGGGAGGGAAATTCTGGCAGCGACTAGAACTGCTGAAGCATCCCTGAGTCTGAGTCGTACCTCGTATTCCTTGGACAGAAGGTAGTTGGAATCAGCCTGCAGCTTCATGAAGTGCCCTTCAAACTGATTTACTTTTATTGGGCTATAGTTAAAAATACAATAGAGAAAAAATTACTGATGAAAAGGGACGCTGCCATACCCAGTCCGAGTGGTATTTCAAAAGCAGATAACACAGTAATGAGTTGTTGCTCTTACCAAGACGTTTTCCGGTTACTGTGAAGGACGCCAAAAGAAGAAAGACCTCGTTAGCAAATCTCACATAAGACAATCAACTCATCTTTCAATACATTATGTGTAGGAAAATGTGGTGCTCACCCTTTCTGGCCCAGGTTCAAGTGGACAGATAATGGTCGATCCCGGCGAATGCTCAGGCGGGCAGAGGGCCTTTCTCGACCATGGCTGCAACATAAGGGAGAGGATTTATAGTCTGGTTACGAAACTTAAACAAATTTTTCCATTTATGGTGAGGCTGTGCATGTCTGTGCAAATATGGATTTTTCAGTATTCATGTAGATTTACACTCAGCCAACGTCTCTTTGAGGGGAGGAAGAACATAAAGAAGAAATAGATTTTTCCCACTCAGAAACGGATCTCTGCAATAGCTGGAGATTTGTCTTCTGGTTTTTGGCTACAGGTCATAATCACTTCCCACACTCTCAATAAAACTTTCCTTAAAAAAAAAAAACCCCAGTAAACCTTAGATGCAAGACATGACTGCAAGAGGGAGGACAATGTGCCAAATAAATTCCCTAAGAGGAGGGGGCGTGGCTTTGGGGCCACATGCTATTTGGTTCTTTTTGGTCCCTTCTTAAATTAGCATGGCAAATATGACCATGAAATGGTGATGTCAACCATACTTTTCAGCATTTCTCAGAAAAGCACTTGGGTGCACAATTCACAGACATCTGTCTTTATGAGCAAAAGGAGTTGTTTCACGTTCAGAGGAAGCTACAGATGGCCCCTCAGTCATTTGGCGAGGGCAAAATTCATCAATGGTATGGAGCGGGGCTGAAAAAAGCCAGTCAGGGTTGGAGGGTTTGACTTGTTTTTCTTGAGAAACAAAGGTGATTTCACCTGGAGAAATGAAATCATCTCCCCTTCTTACTTTTCAGGTGAGAGGGCATTTTCAATTGCATCTTTCAAATTGGGAGCCCAATCGATCGCTAAAGGAATCTTTGTACTCACCTGGCTTTCTGTCTGCAGATGAATAAGGCAACCACAGCCACCAGCATGCCAATTAAGAACAGACCAGCACTCACACCTTCGATAACTCCAAATAAAGGCTCTGCAAGAATCCAGGAGGAAACAGCAAACCCAGGCAGGAAAATTAGTGCTAAAGAACCAGGAAGAGAGCTACTGAAACCTTATCTCCCTAGGAACGTTATTACAGAAAAGTTTGAACGATGCCCATGCTGCAGTATTTACTATCAGATGGTGAGAGCATGCAGCCATGGAGCCGGGGCATTGGCTACTACACCGTAACCACAGGACCATCCTTACACTTTGCACGTTAATGGCGTTCGGCCTATAAAGGAATCTTATGCTCATTGGAGCTTGTATGTAAGGTTTAGGACACTCAAGATAAAGGCCAGAAGTTTGCCACCAAGATAAAAATGCTATTTCATTTGTATGAAACAAGTATAATAGCATTGGGGACTTCGGCAAGTCCAGTGAATTATTGAGAGCTGTTTTAATGAAATTGCATTTTTATTATCTGGTATGATCCTACCCCTGGGAGTTTGTGAATAGGTAAGAGTAGCCTATTTTAAAAACAGCTTTATTGAAATATAATTCCCATACCATTCAATTCACCAATTTAAATTGTATCATTCAATGATTTTTGGCACAGAGTTTTACAAATACAACCACATTCAATTTTATAATATTGTCATCACCGCTCAAAAGAAACCCCATACCTCTTGGCAGCCATTCTCCATTCTTCCCCAGCCCCTGGCAACCACGAATCTACTTTGTCTTCGTAGATTTGCCCATTCTGGGACCTTTTATATAAACTGAGTCAGACATATGTGGTCTTTGGTCATTGGCTTCTTTCACTCAGCATAATGTTTTCAAAGTTCATCCATGTTGCAGCCTGTCTCAGTATTTCATTCTTTTTTTATAGGTGAATAATATCTCCTTGTATGGAATAGTATCCATTCATCCACTGACGGACATTTGTTATCTCTGTTTGGGGGTTATTATGAATAACGCAGCTAAGAATGTCCGTGTATAAGTTTTTGTGTGGGCATATGTTTTCATTTCTTTTGGGTATAAAATTAGGAGTGGAGTTGCTGGTTTAGATAGATGGTAACTCTAGGTTTAACATTTTGAGGAACTGCAGAAATGTTCTCCCAGGCAGCTAAACCATTTTACATTCTCACAAGCAATGTAGGAGAGTTCCAATGTCTCCATATCTTTGGTAACACTTATCATAGTCTTTTGATCACAGCCATTCTAGGGGGTATGAAGTGGTGTCTTACTGTGGTTCCGATTTGCATTTCCCCTAATGACTAATGATGTTGAGCATCTTGTCATGTGCTTATTGGCCATTTGTGTATCTTCTCTGGTGAAACATCTATTCACATCCTTTGTTATTTGCCTTTGTATTATTGAGTTGTAAGGTAACAGTTCTTTACGCATGCTGGACACACGACCCTTATCAGATATTAATTTGCAAATAGTTTCCCCCATGCTGTGGGTTGTCTTTTCACTTGCTTCATGGTCTCCTTTGAAGCACAAATTCTGATCAAGTCCCATTTACCTGGCTTTTCCCCCCTTCTGTTGCTTGTGCTAATGCTGCCATATCGAGGAAATCATTTCCTAATCCAAGGTCACAGAGTTGCACTCCTACGTTTTCTTTTAAAAGTTGTACTGTTCTAGCTCTTACAGTTAGGTCTACGGAGTAGCCCATTGTTGAACTTGCATTTCAAGCCCTTGGATTTGTTTATTCAGTGTTGCTTTTCAAGACTCATTAAATCAACACAATCATTTTTCTTTTAATGGGGTTAATATTCTTTTTTGGATATATGTTTATTACCTTCCTTTACTGAACTGCACGCAATTTTTGTTGTTTTCAAATAGGAAAGAATTGTGTTTATAATGCCCCTGCTTAACACTAAATTATAAGCAAACACATATAAATCCTCTTAACTGTGCTCTGATCCCTTTTTGGTTTGAAAAGTGGGAGATTATCCCTATATTTGGCATAAATAGATGGGAGTGTTTGTGAGGCTGAGTCATCTTTTGTCATGCAGCATGAGAGACTGTTTTAGCTATGAAGAAGAACTTCCTGAGATCAAGCATTGTAGAACCCTGGCTCCAGGGGCAGGCTGGGACAGATGACGGTCTCGAGGAACAATGTGCTGCAATATGATGCTATTCTCAGCATGATGGTTATATTCTGAGGCAATGCAGTACAGAGGTTTAGGGCTCCAGCAGAAAATGCCCATATTCAGCTTTACTATCCTGGGCAAGTTACTTAAACCTCTTGGTGCCTCAGGTCTTCACCTTTAAAATGGGGGATGATAATAGTATCTACTTCAGAAGGTTGTAGTGAAGATTGGATAAACTATTTCATGTCTTCATGTGAAAGTATTTCATTTAGTAAGTATTACCTAGTGTTATTTTTCAGGCTTTCCCTCTAAAACTCTAGAGAAGTTTCTTTCTTAAACGTATGTAAAGTCTTTTAACATTTTCTTATGGTGCAAAAGCAACATAAAATAAGCAAAAGGAAAAAATATCACCTATAATGCCACTACTTTGAGATATTCACTGTTAATCCTTTTTTTAAGTAGGTTCCACATCCATCGTGGGACTTGAGCTAATGACCCTGAGACCAAGAGTTGCATGCTCTACCGACTGAGCTGGCCAGGCGCCCCTCATTGTTAATACTTTGGTGTTTTTTCTTCTAGTCTTTTTTTTCTATGCATTTCTATGTTTGTGCATTCATATATTCCCACCTATGACTGAAAGCCTTTTGTACTTATATTTTGGCCTGTGCAAGCTCCTAATTTGAATGTTTTTCACCCATTATTTTTAAAAACTTCATTTTAATCAAAAAAATCTGATACTTCTACCTTCTTTTCAAGATTAATGCCCATTCAGCCCATTCTCCTTTAGAAGTAGGAGGAATTTCTCTAATCCACATCATCCAGGATCCCATAAAGATTAAATTCCAAGTGAAAAATGCATGTTCCCTTCACCATCAGCCAAGTCACCAGATCTCTCCACTGGAGGTCCTTGTAAGTGACATGGCAGTTGGAGACTATGCGGGTAGATGGGGAGGCTACCTGTCTTACCTGACTCAGTGGTGATAGGCAAGGAGAAAAATGTGTCAGAATAGAGTGGCTTCGTGAATTCCTTCAGGTCCTCATCAAACAGCTGTGTAAAAGCTCGAATGCTGATTCTGAAAGGAAAACCAATTTATTTAAGTGCCAGTGGCTGACCACAGGAGAGCTGACCAGAAATGTGTTCACGGAGCCACAGGGTGGGCACCTGGTCCACATGTATGCTAGGCAGGACATGAATTACAGAATCAGATAGACCCAGGTTCATTCACACATTTATTCATTCATTCACCCAATATTTACTGAGCCCCTACTATGTGCCGGTCCCTGTTCTAGGATCTGGGGATACTGCAAGGGACACAGCAAAGTCCCTACCATCCCAGAGGTTACATTCTCTGGTATTAGAAGTCAGATAACATTTACACAAATTTAATATGCCAGATGGTGATATGGAATAGCAGGAAAAAGAGAAGAGGAGAGTAAGGGAAATGGATAGCAATGGCGATGGGTGTGGGGAACTGCCCTATTCAGCATGGTCAGTGGAGGGCTTCTGGATTAGAAATCAGAGGAAAGTGAGGGAGGCAGCCATGCTTGTGTTCCAGCAGAGGGGACCACAGTGGGAAAGCACGGAAAGGAAGGACCAGATGGGGCCCAGCCTGAAGAGGAGAAGGGAGGAATTCAGGATGGGCCTAAAGAGAGCTGCTGAGGTGGCCATCCACATATCCATGTGGGATGGTGCCCAGAGATTAGCTGGCCCTAAATTCAATACACCAGCAAGATGCAGCTATGAAAAGATAAATTTGTAACCTCAGCCTGGATGAAAAGTCTATTGTCCCTGTCCGAGAACCTTGGTCTCATATTCCCTGGGTGAGTCAGGCCAGTCTGGAGAGCTGCATTCGGTTTCTGGGGACATATCTTAGGAAGGGTTAGAGACCGTTCAAGGTGATTAAACAGGACGACGACGACAGGAAAGACTTAGTAGAACATGATGGTTGACTTCAGATTTAAGGAATTCTCACATAGAAGAGGAAACAGACATTATTTTTCTTCTTGAAGGTAGAGTGAAGCCCCATAGGCTGAAAGGTCACAGGGAGGTATAGTTTGGGAACATAAAGTTGCTTTGCAACATCTAGAGTATGAGCTGTTGCATTAGGTAGTGAGCTCCCAGTCATTGAGGGTATTTAAGCAGAGGCTGAAGGAGAACCAGCTCTCAGAGAAGCTGTAGGAGAGCATCCCTGCACTAAGTTAAAGACTGCCTCAGGAAAAAAAAAAAAAAAAAAAAAAAGACCGGCTCAGGCCAGCTCTTGAGTTCTTTCTCTTTTCAACTGTAGGTTTGCTGAGACTTTCAGGCTTGATTTATATGGGGAAACTTTCCCAGTGTTAATTTAAATCCTATGAAAGTGAATGGAAGTCTCTTTTTCCTTTAAAAAAAAAATCTAGATTTATTTAACCCAAAAGTTTCTGGGCACGCCCTGTAATAATGCTGAAATAGTATCAGGCCAGGGTGAATCATTCTGCCCCTCTGCCCCTCCTTCCAACTCATGCCCACGTCCAAATGCCATCTTATAAAATGAGCAGGACGATATTGATCAACCACATCTATAATTTCCATCTCTAAAAGCTGCTTTCCCGTCAAAAGTTGTACTTCCAGGAATAACAGGCTGTTGATGGAAGTATCGTGAGCTGTCCCTGAAGGGTAACAAGCAGTCAGCTTGTGTTAAGTGGGAAGGTGAGGAGTTGGTGTGTGTTGCTAATGCATTGTACTTTTGGAAATTGAAATGAGTCTCTCTGGTGAAAAGAATTTCTTATATTGGTATAATGATTTATAAGTGTGGAAGAACTTTCACAAACATGGTTCTATTTGAGCATCTCCAGTGTCTCCCATGTAACAAGGGAGCTTATGATATTACTTCAGAGATTTGGAACCTGAAGCTTGCAGAGATTCCGTGTCTTGCTCAAGATCACAGAGAAAGCTGGTGTAAGAAAACCAAACTCTGTATTTTCTGAATCCTAGTCCAGATTTCTTTCTCTTATTTCCTCTCAGCTTAGTTTTGGTTTAACAGCTCTGACTTCTGTGGGAGGGATGGTAAAAAGGGCCCAGGCTAGGAAGCAGAGGGTCTGAGGTCTAGCTAGCAGTCTGTTCCTGATTAGATAAATGGCCCCTAAAATTTTTTATGCCTTGGTTTCCTCATTTGTAAATTAAAAGCCCTGGATACAACAACATTAACATGTTCTGTTCTGAAATTCTAGGTGCAAAACCCAAAATACAATATGGATGCCAATGAATAAGGACCTTTAGGAACCCAGGAAGGAGATCATGACCTAGTAGAGGATTACCTTAAACTTAGTGGGATCAAGAGGAACTCTGCTCTTAAACCCTTTCCAAAAATGGACACCACCACCACTTCCCTAGCTCAGCATTTAGCACCGCACCCCCCCACCCCGATCCTGTGCCAGATCTTCCAGATCCCCTATCTTCCTGGGCTTGTCTTCCCTGCTACCTCTTTTCATGCTCTCCCCACAATTTGAAACTGGACTATTTGCTCTTCTCTAAACAGTCTGTGTATTTCTTCCTCTGCACTTGGACTCTCATTCTTCCCTCCACCCGGAATCTCCTTCTGTCCCTCTCTCCATATTTTCAAATCCTTCCTTACTTTTTAATGCTCAGCTAAAACGTTACCTCCTTCAAGAAGCCTTTTGAACCTTGACAGCATTTGTTTACCCTCATGTCCTTCAACATTTCTGCCTATATTTTACAGATGCCTTCTGTGTATATATATCTGAATAAGATTATTTTAATAAACAGATATATGATAGTAATGATTTCAACTTTATATGTGTCCAGAATCAGATATCTATAGCACAAAGTTAGAGACCATGTGGTTCAATTTCCTTCATTTGGGGAAAATGAGGTCAAGAGAAGCTGACTACCTGCTCGTGGTCACATTGCTATTCTATTTAGAAGAGAAACAAAACCAGATCAGCACTTTGCTAACCTCCAAACTGCCTCCCACCCATCATGATCTGCCCTTTCTCTTCCTATATGGAATGACGCTAATTATACACCCAGATAATAGGAACCCAGTAACAACTGGGAACACATTACGTTCGTTGACATAATAAATATGCAAAGCAGCTAAACCTAGCATTTCCCATTTCTTTTCAATCCTATTTTTCCCCCTGTGTTCTCTCCTGTCTACCTATTCTCTCTCCGGAAAAAAAAAAAAAAAAAGATGCCTGACAGCATCGAGGGTCACTGTGGCAATCGTCATCTTGAGAGGCAGAATTCTGACTGCACTAAGCTTGGGGTCAGCAGCCACACAGGACACCGCTTAGCATGAGGTTCCCCCACCTACTTTGAAAGGCTAGGCCTCCTCTTACCAAGCATTATCTGCCCGGCATGCTTTTCACGGGACTGAACCAAATGTGGAGAAATATCGGAGAGTTGTGTTCTAGAAAGCAAGTAAGTATGGCCTGAGTTGATTAAGGTATAATAAGAATGTGTAACTGTTCATAGAGCATCTTGGCTCATTCCCTTCTTTCTTCACAAATATCGAATGAGCGCCTCTTGGGGGCCAGGTACTTGTCATATTGTTTTGTCTCCTCTATTAGACTGCAAACTCTCATAGTCTAGTGAAGAGGGCAGGTAACCCTCGTCAGAGAGCTAAAAGATGTTGGTGAGTAGAGGACTGGAGGGATGGAGGGTCTGAGCGCTGCTGCGGAAACGGAGTGGGGGCCACCTGCCCAGTGCAGCTTGATGGGCTGACGGGTGCCGGGGGCGGGGGGCGGGTAATGTGGGGCTCAATGAGGGCTGAGCTGGCTTTTGAGGTGTATGAAGGGATGCACCAGCCAGTCAAGGGAGGGGAGAGCATCCCAAATAGAAAAGAATGTGTAGAGGCTCAGAGGTATAAGAGAGGTATGTCACATTTAAAGGAAGTGAGGGGAGCAAAAGGCAGGGCGTACTTGCGGCAGATGGTGGGAGGCAAAGCGGGAGAGGCAGGCGGGACGCCGATGGTGGGGGCTTTCTGTGCCCTGCTCTGGAATCTTCACTTACTCCTGGAAGTGAATGGGGACCACTGGAAGACCTTCATCTAGAAGGGACATGACCAGTTTTGAGGGATCCTCTGCAGATGAGAGAAGAGAGGGTTTGGGAATTGAAATGCCATTTCCGAGGTCACACGGCTAAGTGGCCGCACCTGGACTCCATGTGGGATCTCCCAGGCCTGGGCAGCTGTTAGGGATGGGAAGGCGGGTGCCCGGGAGTGGTGGGCTCGAGGCCGACAGGAGCCGTCTATAGCTTCTCACTGCCCCTCTCTTAAATGAAGTAAGGAGTCATCTTCTCTCCCTCTCTTTCCGAAAGCAAACAAACAAAAAACAGCCTCCACTGACTAACTCACAAATCAAATAGAGCCTTTGGGAGACTTTTGCTCAAATTTCCTTGGGCCCATGTGACCCAGGACCTGAGGCATTTCTTGATTCTTATAGAAACTGAAGGATTCCCTCATTCTGCTCTCTCTTACATTTTTCTCCTTTGCCCTGTCTGAGCTCTCCCCTCCTTCAGGTAGGCTCCTAGGGTCTTTTCTTGAAGGAAACATCACTACTAAGTTTGTGCGTGTTTCCTCTGGAGATGCTGACCTTGGCTGGGGTAGCAATAGCATTTTTGTGGTGAGCCCTGGGCAGAGGCGTAGCTACAGAGCTCCTGCAAAGTGAGTCCTCCGGGTTAGGAAAACTGTCAGCCTGCCCACGTCGATTCCAGGGAGGGGCTGAAAATGCTCTCAGGTGTGATGCCATGTCATCGTCCCTTATGGAGCCTGCAGGAAAGTCTCTGCGGAGACTCAGCGGCGATATTTAAAATATGTAAGAGTCAGTAAGCCCTGGGCACCGACTAAACAGAATAGACCCTGGCCCACAGAGAACCTGATTGGCTGCCGTACTGACTGGATGTCAGCTCTGCCAACACCCAAGAGAGACAACACAGCCTCTGCAGAAGCACTGATCTTGGATGCCTACAGCTTATATCCAAGATGGCAGCCGAGATTCTCTTTTTCTTGAGGATTCTGGTTGGGGATGCTGTGTACCTCTGCTTACACTTGCTTTCGGGGAGCACAGTGCAGACCAAGGGCACTGTCAATGCCAGTGGCGGGAAGGGCCTGCTGGCTTCAGTACCGCTTCCTGGGGCCAAATCAAATGGCTGCTCCTTCTCATCTGTCAGCCTAGCAGGAGGAAAGGGTACTCCCGTACATGCGGGAGCTTTTGCCTTTGAGAGTTCTGTCTGGACCAAAGAGCACTTTCATCTTTTCATGCCTTAGAAGATAAATAAATAAGTGTAATGTCAGCCCTCACTAGAAGTAGAAGATGAAACCCTATCTTTCTTGGGTCTCCCTAAACTTCATCTTTCTGTTTGGACACTTTCACAGTCATTAACATGGTAAATAAACTGTTTGAATTGTATTAAAGAAGTTTGAGGAGAAAGAACCATCTATTAAGGAACTTCACGTCTTCGTGTAATGAACTGGAGCTTTTGCACAACACCGAAGGCCTTCTTTACACATTACCTGTGAATGGAGGCAGGAACACAGCTTTTATAAACTACCCAGGAACATGCACAGCACTGTCGTAATGCTGGGTAGTAATCTACAGGAGCTCAGACGCATCAGGCACCCAGACAGCTGAGCCCCCGCTCCTGCAGCATGTCCCTTCTTGCAAAATGATGGTAATGCTTCTAACCTGTAGGCAGTGCGCGGCTTCAGCGGCCCGTCACAGAATTTTTGCTGGTTGGGATCGCATTTTCCACCCAGGCTCTCCATCTCTGCTCCCAGCTTAATGTTAAAACTCTTGGAGTTGCTGTCAGGACTCTCAGCACACTTGCTGGCAAAGTAATCGGTCTGATACATCCGGATGGAGGCGTTGTGCCTGTATTCTAGGTAGGAGGGCAGAGGGTGTTGCTGTTCCGGCTTCAGCTCATCACTGCCTGCAGGGAGAAACCCACGGTGAGCCACTGACTTCCTCCTGACTTCAGTGACCTCAGGGATCTCTCCCTAGGCTTCTAAGTCTGCCTCCTCTCTCCCACCATCTCCGGTCGGGTCCAAAGGGCAGACACTTTGATCTTCATGGATGCGGTGAAAGTCTCCTAATGAAATTAGTTTCAGTCCACTTCTTCTAAAGTAAAAATTAAAAATAGAGTCTATGTGTATACAACATTTTATACACGCACACCTACATGGGTTTATATACACACACACCCATCATTTTTCTAGGAAATAAAATATGTGTGTTTGAGCGGTTAACTCATTGCATCAGACGATAAATGTGTTCCAGAACCCGAGAAAGCTGGACACTCCCCACTGTGAAAGTCAACCCACTCAATAAGCTCTCTGCCTTGCCAATGACCATTGTAGCTGAGCTAATAAGGAAATCCCGATGACCTAGGAAATAAGGAAGAGATAAGAGAAATCAAGTTCAAGGCCAGAGCAGTCACCCACAGGCACGCTCCACGTGCCACACCCAGTCTGATTGTGGCTCTGTGTACAGCTCTCTGTTATCTTGAGTACAGTTTAATCCTGGCTCGAATTTGGCCCCTCGTGCAGCACGCTTCCCAGAACTCTTCCCTGTCCACCCAGCCTGCTGTGTGTTTTGGCACTGCAAACTCGTTTTGATGTTGGCTGGAGGAAAGCATAAGTAGGAAGGTAAATATTATAGAGATAGGATTCCATTTACAGTGCACTTCAAGGGGTGGTATTGCAGGGGTTCACCACATCTGGACTCTTGTTTAACAAAATATGTTCACAATGAGTGGGTCTTGGAAATATTACCTTGTTGGCAGTAACTGAAAAGGAATGTTGCCTTTAGGATGAACACATATGCTATGAAAGACATTTATATGAGAAGGATTGCTATCTTAGATCACCAGGGGAGCACAGCCCATCTTCACGGACATCAATAATTGAAATCCACAAGGCTGGAGAACACAAGGCTGCCTGCCGGGGTATGGCTTCCTTTTGGTCACTGCCTTACACTCATGTAGTAAACCATTATCTTCACTAAAGCTAAAAATCACTGCATAGTTTGTTGATTTCTCTCTTAAATCCTTATCTGTAGATATAAGTCAATATATCTATTTATGAGATGTAAGGAAATCTGGGATGCACCCCTGACCCTTGACATTATTTAATTAATTATGCATAACCAACTTCAGTACAATTAAATAAAATGTCAAAGCACACGGACCGTTAGATACCCCGTGAGACTAAAATACTGTTTAGCCTAGGAACCCCTCCAGCATTTGTCAGGCGTAATGTTTCTCACTGCCCACAAATGGGTTAAAATAGCCAGGGATGTGTAGCACCTTAAACAATTTTGGAAAATATAAGACACGTCAAATATATGATGTCACTGCAGACACACACATCTGTTTTGGAGAAATAGGGCACAAAATCTCAGTGGCAAATGCGACACTCCTGTAGATGGTTTCACAAATGCTGACAGAAGAAGCTCTAAAAAAATCATACTTGAGGTTGTATGCAACGTTGTTACAACTCTTACCTAGTTATCTGCCTGGCCCGTAGGAATTAGGTAGACATGGAATAATTTGGTCGACTAGAAAATGAAATTTACTGTTGAAAATTCAGTAGAGAAAGGAAGAACACCTTTCGGGATCTTTTCCCTCTTTTTAGCTCTTGAATGTTTTTTGTGAATCGGTGGGTGGTTTGGAAGCGCGTGCTTCCTTGAGGTGTTGGGAGACTGGGGCGGGGAAGACACTGAAGCATCCGGCTGCTTGATGGCAGAACCAAAAAGTAGCCATCAGCACTGAATGAGCAGTGAAGGTTGTGCAAATCACTGCAGAATCCATGCTCTTCCAACAAGCCTGGCACATCGCAAAGCCTCTCTACGTGATGGGTATTTATGCTATTGCTGCAGTTGCTAGTGTTATTATTCACCCATTTCATAGTTAAATCCAGCGAATAACAGGCTTTACTGCTGAAAGAGCCTTTGAGCAGGTTTTTGTAACATCTCCCAGCATCCAGCGGAGATAGGGCAGAAGTCTATCAAAATTGAGTTTTCTACTCATCAAAACTTGTCACAGACAGAGCCGCCACGGTGACCTCTGATGAAGCAGAGAATCCGGGATCACTTACCCTCAGCCTCTCTCACGACCACCGTGAAGTATTTCACAGCTCCGTTGGTGTCGCTGAACCAGCTGCAGTTGAAAGTGAAGTTGATGGAAGATTTGCTGATTAGCACATCCTTTTTATTCACCCGAATATGTGGAGGTGGAGGAGGGGGCCCTGAAAAGGATGGAGAAGGAACCCAGGGGAGTCAGGACTCTGCTCTTCCACATAAACAGCCATCAGTGACATGAAGGTCTCCACTCACCTACACCGGGATGTGCGTGTGCGTGTGTGTGTGTGTGCGTGTGTGCGCGGCGCATGCGCGTCTGTGTTTGAAACTTGCAATCAAGAAGACCTCCTCCTCCTCTCCTGGAGGGAAGTAGGCAGAGGAAGTGACTTGCCAGAGGCACGTTAAACATAATGAAAGAGGCGGCTCCTTAGCAGGATTTCCTGAAGCTGTAGCACCGAATTGCCTAGAAGCTCCCCGATAGCTCTAACTCTATCAGGCAAAGTGATGTATTGAAACACTAACTCATTCAAGTACTCGAAGATCATTTATTTCACTTGTTTGCTGCCGGGATGCTTCACCTACGTACGGGGAAACGTTTCCGCATCCTGGAGGCTTTCAGGTTCCCTTTTGCAAGTGACCACGAGCCTCGCTAACGGGGAGGTGAGCTGTGTGCCCGCGCACACGGAGGTACAGGCCGCCGTGGAGCCGGGCTCGCTCGGTGCATTACCTCCAGAAACACTTACGGTCTATCATTGTGATAGTGCTGTCTTCCACCACCTCGCTGGTCATGCCGGCCGACTGCACCTTGATGGACACCAGGTACCTCTTATGGGGCACGAGCATCATGATGTTGAGGAGAGATTTCTCTTTCTCCAGCTTTCTGGAAAACTCAACTTCCTGAGTGTCCATTTTCCGACATTCAATGCTATACCCGTCAAAGTCAGAGTCAGGAGGGATCCAAGAGCAGGCGATGGCTGTGGAGTTCTGAGGCCGGCAGTGCAGGTTTTGAATCTTGTCCGGCTCTACAGGACAGAGAGGGACAGACACGTCACAACTCTGGGAGACACACTTTTTTTTTTTTTCCCTCATTTCCTTTGTGCCCAATGTGCTCTGAGATCTACAACAGTAATTCTCAAGATTTATTTGGATGGCTTTTCAAGGAAAAAAAAATTCTTAGGGATCTCCTGAGGAATTGCTGCATCCCAGACCACACTTTGAGAACCATTAACAATTAAAATGCTGTCCCTTCAGAAAATCACCCAGTGCCAATGTGATCGGAAACACAAATACTAAATTTAGCGTGGGCACTAAAATTAAGGGGCAGAAGTCAGATGGAAGGTGGGGCTGAGCAGCCAGAAGGTTAAAAGGGCAGCTCGGCCTGTCTGAATTCAGATTCTGTTTACCAGGTGTGGCTTCTTGAGCAAGTTACTTACCGTGTCTGCAGCCACATATGTAAGGTGGGAAAATTAATAAGAGTATCTACTTCCTGTGGGGACTGTGATGGGTCAGTGAGTTGAACCAGGCACAGCCACCTAGAAAACCACGCCTGGCATAGTAATTGCTCAGTAAATGTTAGCTCTATGAGAAAATTAAGACCTGTCATTGCTTCCTTGTCACCCTCTAGGCCCTGGCTCTCCCCCCTTCCATTTTTTGCCTTCCCTGCTCACATGCCATCCTCCAGGCACCTAAACTGCTGACGGTTCCCTGTATACACCATGCTCTTTCACCCCCTGTGCTCGTGGTCAGTCAGTTTCTTCTGCCCGACAGAGTGCCTGGCCTAGTAGGGACTCAATGAAGATCAGTCATGATCTCATGAGTGGGTGTGAGTGACTCCACAAGGAGTAAGAGGTACAGTCTGACAGAAAAGCACCTAGCTGACCTGACCACGCAGGTTACTCACCAAACTCTAGGCCTCCCCAACCAGCGACGTGGTCTACATCTCTAATTACATCCGATGAAGCGAAATTGTATGATTTCCATAAGTAGTTTTTGAATTTGAATTTTAGCGGCTGAGCCATTTAAAAAAGAAAAGTTCTCAGTTCCCCAATATGTTAAGTCAGAGGGGCTCTGGTCCTGTGTTTTAAGTGTGCCTTGGGGGTCAGGGGTGCTATGCTGGGGTGACCTCCCTAAGACTTCCCTTGCCTTGTCCCCTGTCCCTATGAATTTCTGAGGAGCCTTCAGGCTCTTGAATAGAACTTGACAATCTGGGTCTAGAGCACTCTATTTCATTCCAGGAGTCAAAAGTCTTGACAAATACTTCATTTAAAAAGCCTGCCCATTGTTTCATCAACCACAGCAGAAAATACAGTAACAATTTTCAGATAGCACTAATCAATCGCATCAAACCATCAGAAAGGCTCACAGAGCACTGCATACAATGGGGATAGATTTAAAAAAAAATAAGGTTATGGGTGCCTGGGTGGGTCAGTCATTAAGCTTCTGCCTTCGGCTCAGGTCATGATCCCAGGCTTCTGGGATAGAGCCCCGCATCGGGCTCCCTGCTCTGTGCGAAGCCTGCTTCTTCCTCTCCCACTCCCCCTGCTTGTGTTCCCTCTCTCGCTGTGTCTCTCTCTTTCAAATAAATAAATAAAATCTTAAAAAAAAAAAAAAAGGCTAAAGACAGTTACATTTGACCAAATAGGAAAAACCCCTTCCATTTCATTGTTGGGTCTTTATCGTCCCTACTACAAACTTCATCCTTTTCTCTCTTCTCCACCTGCCCTTCCTCCCCAAATTAAAATATATGTTTGGGAGTGCCTGGGTGGCTCAGTCGGTTAAGCATCTGCCTTTGGCTCAGGTCATGATCCCAGGGTCCCGGGATAGAGTTGGGCTCCCTTCTCAGCGGGGAGCCTGCTTCTCCTTCTCCCTCTGCTGTTCCCCCTGCTTGTGCTCTCTCTCTCTCTCTCAAATAAATAAAATCTTAAAAAAAATTAAAATGTATGTTTGTTCATAAACCTTGTAGCCTGGACTGGCTACATAACTTTCAGGGTCCAGTGCCAAGTGAAAATGCAATGCCCTGTGTTCAAAACATTATTAAGATTTCAAGATGGTGACAACAGAATATTAAATGGAGTATGGGGTCCCTCTAAGCACGGGGCCTGTGTGCCTGCACAGCTGGGGGCACTAATAGCCCTCCCCCCCGCTTGCAGAATAGATCATAGCGCTCTTTTAGGAACTATGCGGAGACCTAGAAATCCCTCACAGAGCAGCACCTGTTGCTCTGATTTGCCATACAACCCCCTTCTCCTGACACCTTCTCCTTCATCATAGGACTCTTTGTCCTCAACAATCGTGACTTTGAAACACTTGGCATCTTTGTGCCACTGAATGAATTTGTGTTTCATATCATGGTCTAAAATATTTAGCTAAGTCATAACAGTTTAGATAAGAATGATCTCGAGAAAAAAAAAATCAGCCTGAAGATTTTTCAGGATAAGGGAATTGGACTTTGAGGCAAGCAGTACTTGTATCTTTTCAAACATTAATGGCTTGTTAATCTTTCGAACTCCTTCAAACCAAACCACAGCTGGACCCCAAAGGCACCTTCTCTGTAGAGCAAGTCTTTAGAAACACCCTGCCTGATTCATAATTCTGATAATTTGCTCAAAGAACAATATGGAGATTTGCTTCAGCCTCTTTCCTCAGCTTTCTCGCCTTTCCATTCTGCCTCTCAAGCCCACGTGTCTTCTAAGACCTCCAGTCATATCCCCATTCACTAAGAAATAAGTACCTGCTAAGTGCAAGGTGCTCTTGTAGGGACTATGAACAGTACGGAAGTGAATTAGGCACTAGCCCTAACCTCTAGGAAGGGAGAGGAGTCTGAAATGGCCATAATACAGGGTAGAAAGGAGAATGTACCGGAAGAAATGGAGAAAGAAGGTGCTGGGTGGAGTGCTAGACAACTTTCCAGAGCTACTGGTGGGTAGGAGTTAGCAAAGGCTTCCTGGCAGAGATGACCCCTCACCAAGATATTGGGAAAGGGGCATTCCAGGCAGAGAAAAGTATGAACCCAGACACCCAGGGTGGGGTGGGAAGGTGGAAGATCAGGAATTGCAAGTTGTTCATCGTGGCTGGAGCGTATGTGTGAGACACGGAATTATGGAATGATTCTACATGAGAATTATAAACTCTGTTGTTTAACTCTCTGTATCTTGGGTTTTCTGTTACCCACAACCAAACCCAATCCTATCTAATGCAATCCTCAAAGTTCCATCAGCCATTCTTCATAAAACACAACATTGCCAGTGGCTCTCCTTGTAGGCATGCCCCATCTGGTAGATGCCTCTCTTAGATTCCAGCACCCAGGACAGAATACAGAACTCCAGAAGCCATCTAATCAGCCCAGCCTCTACTGAGTTCCTAAATTGAACACCTGTTCAATAAGCCCACAATAAGCCACCAAAAACCCATCCTGAGCTTGCCATAAATGAAAGTTCTTAGTTCTTCCTCACCTATTTCTCTTGACACTCAACTATTTGATTTCAAACTGCTCTCTGGATACAAGGTGGAGTGCAAGTTATAATGACTATAACATTAATGTTTGCTGACTAGGTGAAACAACTACCTGCTTAAATTTCTACTTTTCAACTACATATTTCATCAATAACCACTAACTATCTGATCTGATCTTAGAAACTACACATAGTGGTATTATTGAAAAATAAATATTTGGATTGAGGTTCCTATACTGAAAACCTTTGTTTCTTTGAGGTTTGTTTTATCTATCCCAAAATGCCTTTGGGAAGAAACTGATATATATTTCATTGTTGAAGTATTTTTATCTTTAGGATTTATAGCCATGTGTCCTAACTGATCCCTCTGTTTCTAGTTTGCCCTTTTCAGTCTCCACACTGTATCCAGAGTAACTTCTTACAGTGCAAATCTGATTATGATTTCTTGGCTGAAAATCCCTCAGTGACTCCAACTGATTGAGGATAAAGTTACAGTCACTACCATGGTTCTCAAGACATTTTATGACCTGATTCTCCTAATCCTCACCTTTTATGCTGTGGTCAACTAAACTCCTTCCTGTTCCTCTGTCCTGCCTGGTCTTGGAATATTTTATTCTCTACCTAGAATATTCTCCACTTCTTTCCTCATATCTACCTGGTGAATCTTACCCTTTCCTTAGGTTTTGATTTGGAGGCTGCTTCTTCTAGGAAACTCTCTTGTATTGGGTCAGATGCCCTTACCATGAGTTTCTATAGAGCCAAATACTTCCTTCCTCACACTTCCCACTGAACTGCAAGCTCCATAAGGGCAGAGATAATTTCTTTATTGTCCACTGCTGTTAATGTTGAAGGAATGAACAAGTCTATACTGATTTCTGCCTAAATTCACATCTAATCAATCCCAAGTAAAGATGTGGATTTAAACCAAGCCTCACTGGAATAAGATGTCGCGACACATACTTTCCCCCTCCCTCCATCTGAGAACCAAGAGTAGCAAAACATGTCATACTTGTCCTCACGGATCCAAATATTGGTCGGCTATAGGTTTTCCAGGAATCACCACTGACAGTCTTGACACTAAATTGATAGGATCTCCCTGGACGAAGACCATATATGATGCGTCCTTCTGATTTCCTGTTGCTGTAGGGGTTGAAGACCGTGATTGCATCTCTGGGGGACCACTGCAGCTCAAAGTCATCATAGTCTGTCCAGTCTGGTGGCCCCTTCCAGGTGATGGCCAAGGATGTGTTTGTAACATCAGCAAATGACATAAGACTGGGAGGAGTTGGGGCTGTATGTAGGAGAACATGAAAAAAATCACATAAACACATCTGTGCCATAACATATGCAGACAAGAGAGCTGAGTGATGTCAGACATACTTTAATGTACTTTGGAGGAAGAGATATAATGAAAATCTAATAATAGAAGCTCCTATCTATAGTGTTTACTATGTGTCAGGTACTGTTCTCAAATGTTTTATGCACATTTTCTTTAATTTTCATAACCAGAGTTTCCTTACCAGGGTTCTGTGGAGCAGGAGTGGACCCCAAATGGGTTACACATGTGTGAAGATCTTGGTTCCATTAGATTCTGAGGTGTGAGGGCTATAGTCCACAGACAATTATGTCCAGATAGCCCTGTTCATTGACCCCAGGGTGGCATACAGACTAACATCTGCATATGCCCAGGAAATAAAATATTTGGGAAGCATTGCCATGGCAACACAATGATGATGTATACAATTATCGCTATTTTACAGATAAGAAAACTGAGACTTAGAGATGCTCAAAGACCTTCCTAGCTTCACATGGGTAAGTCACAGAGCTAAGCTAAGGATCTAGATCTTTTTCCTAGATCTTTCGTGGTATGTTTGTGGATAAGGTCTGTTTCCTTTATCCACTGTATCATAGTGCCTTCCCAAGTTCAGGGGCTAGCACGTGGCACACCATTATTGATTTCCTTTCTTCCTATTAAAACCATATCTTGAATGTGGTCCCACCAATACTAGCCTTTGGCCACCGGGCTTCTTACCTGTTCTGCTCTCGCCCGTGAGCTTGTTGCTGAGGTCCCCACTGTGAGTTACCACACACAGCGTGTACTTCCTTCCAGGAATGAGGCCATGGAAACGCCATTCGGTCAGGTCCTTGTCTCTCCAGTTCTCCTTCTTCGTGCCATTAGGGTTGTAGAGAATCAGCTCATAAAAGTCAAAGTCCCCAGAGGCCGGACTCCAGCTGAACCAGAGACTGTCTGTCATATTCCGGTTGGATCCTCTGAGGTTACTCACGGAAGCTGGGACTTAAACACAGTGAAAACCTTTACTAAGAACAAGAGTTAGTAACAAAGGCATTTGGCCTACAGGTGAGAATATGTGTGATGTTGGGCATATAGTTGAGTAGTCCCCATTGTAGAGTCAGATCTGGCCTGTATTTCAGGGCCTGGGTTTAGGGGCGTGTGGCCTAGAGATGTGGTACAAATTAAAATAAAGCAAACCACCACGGGGGCGCCTGGGTGGCTCAGTCAGTGGTTAAGCATCTGCCTTCGGCTCAGGTCATGGGATCGAGCCCCACGTTGGGCTCCCTGCTCAGCGGGAGTCTGCTTCTCCTTCTGCCTCTCACCGTGGCTTGTACTCTCTCTCTCGCTCACTCTCTCTCCGATAAATGATAAAAATCTTAAAAAAAAAAAAACCCACCCTAGGTGGTGACTTCTGTATGCTTGCCACATGTAGTCTGATAAGCATCTAAAATGAGATCTTCAGAAATGATTTATTAAAACTGGTCCCCTTCCAGGCTGGCCCATCTCACTGACCAGGCCCCTCACTCCCTCACATCCCCCTCTGGGTGTCTCTGCTCCCCACCCCCCCACACCTGCCCTCTCGTAGGCTCTCAGTTCCCTCAGCTCTTTCCTACCCACATCTATATCGGTCGAGCCTCACTTGGGAAGAGGGTGTTAACAGTCACGGCTACCACTGTGTTACTTAGTCACACTAGCACCTGTCCCGTGGGTACGTAAGCTTCGTTATTCTCTGGAGAGTGGAGACTGTTGTCTCTTGATGGAGGAACTTTAAACATTAATGAGCAGAGAAGGGAAGATGTGCAGGGGGCAGATCGCCCTGGAAGTGGTAACACTGAGGCAATTCTACTCAGGGTCTAGGCGGATCTGGATCTGTTGCTCATTTTCATTCCCTTCCCCAAAACACACTGAGATTTTCCGTTGGGCACCTGGGATGCAGGGCTCCACTGAAATGCTTTCTCTGTCTGAAGTAGTATCTTGTCCTGTCAAGTCTCTCTGTCACATGTTGTTTCTTCCTTTCATAGACTCGAAGGGGTCCCCAAGTCCTCTTCCCTAAAAATCTGCGGTCTTCCCCCTCCCCCCCACCCTGCGCTAATGTGAGCTCAACGGGTCAGGGGCCTCATCGGCACTGTTCACGGTCAGAGTCCAGTAGTGAGCCCCGTGCCCCGCCTACAAAGCTCTCAAAAACTATTGTCAAATGAGAAAAGAAAAATAACTGAATAGAAAAATAAGATAATGAACTCAAAGTATGGAAAAAGAGTCAATTCCGTTTCTCATTGGCAGCCCGGAGAGATGTCCCTCTCTCTGTCTCTCCTTTTCCTGCAACGCTTTGTGTTCAGTTCACGCTGTGCCGTGTTTCTATGGCTCAGCACTCACGGCCTGGTCCTTCGCGCAGCGGCCCTTCCCCGGACCTGCCCTCCCCTCCATGCATGCCTTGTAGGAACCCAAGGGGTATGGCTTGAATGGAGCCACAGTGGGTTACAACCCTCTTGTGGCAGTTTGCTGGCGCAAAGAGGAGCCAGACTCATTGTTCCATCAAACTCTATGATGTCCATGAGTGGTAGCAACAGAGCAGAAGCCAGTGCAAAAGCTATTCTGGTACAGAATCAAAGGTCTGATTTAGGGTCAAAAAGCTTGAAGGTCACAAGATTCATACAGAGCTAGATCATATATAGAATAGGAAACAAAGGACACATCACAGAAAAGCCAGTGAATACTGAGACAATTTCCCTGCTTTACACTCCTGCTTGGCTCTGGGCCTTACCTGTTCTTCCGAATATGAAAGACTCATTAGACAGCTCCCCACTGTGAGTTACGATCACCATTTTGTACATTCGGCCTTGTAGCAAGTTCTGGAAAGAGAAGCTCTGGACTTGTGGGTCAACCTGAGCTCTTTCCTGAAGCGTTCGATCTGGGTTGTACAGAAAGATGTTGTACCCATTGAGCTCCCCTTCTGAGGTGGTCCAGCTGAAGGACAGGTGTCTGGTGGAGTTCTCCGTGATCCTCAGGTTGGTGACAGCTGCCGGGACTGGAAAAGTCAAGCGAGAGAGTGAGACTGAGTTTTGGCACGCCCCCCTGACACAGCCCAGGCCCAAGGCCCACAGGGACACACTCCATAGCGGCTCAAAACATATGGTCTCTGCCTTCAGAAAATATTGACTTCATGAAGACCCCAAAGCAGAGAAGAGTGAATTTTGTGCATGACTGATGCTGAAACCGTTAATGAAAAAAACAAAACCAAAACCAAAAAACCACCCCCCAAACCCACAAGAGAACAAAGAAAACCAGGAATGGGAAATTGTCTTCAAAGACGTTTTTTGGGGTATGAAATAAATGTTAATCTGACCTGTGTGACTAAATGTTTTCTTAATACTAAGAGCTATATCAGAGAGCAAAAAACTATCTCTGAGTGCCATCTGAAAGCTAAGGAATGGCCCTTGGGGGTGAGGGCAGCAGGGAGGGAAGGGAAGGGGGAAAGAAAGAGAAAGCAGGCAGAAGGAGGAGATTCGATTCAGGGATCGAGGAAAGAGAAGCAAGAGGAAAAGCCAAAGCCATTTTTTTTTTTTTTAAAGATTGACCTTGGGATTCGATGACCTTCTTGGCCTTCAGTGGCACCTGTTGGCAAAGTGATCAGGAGCCCCCAGCAATGACCTGCTGCCAAACTGTTTGTACAGGTGCTGCCTGATGCCCCAAAAGTCTTGGGCTACCAGTGGGAACAGACCAGGACACCTGCCTTTGTCTCCGCTGGGTTCTCCTCCCTCCGCTCCAAACGCTTCCTCTTCCACTTTCTCCCTCTCCTCACACCAGGTCCTTAAAAGTTGACATTTCTCATCATTCTATCCTTTGTTCCTTTCATACTCCGTAACACAAGCTGAGCACCCAATCTCATTCACTTTATGCATTGTGATGGTCTGAATGTTTATGTCCCCCTCCACCCCCAAATTCATATGTTGAAACCTAACCCCCAAGGGGATGGTATTAGGGGATGTGGCCACTGCGAGGTGATTAGGTCATGAGGGTGGAGCCCTCCTGAATGGGAGTAGTGCCCTTATATATGAGACCCCAGAGAGCTCTCTCGTCCTTCTACCATGTGAGGACACAGCAAGAAGATGCCATCTATGAACCAGAAAATGGGCCCTCACCAGACCCTGAATCTGCTGGTGCCTTGATCTTGGCCTTCCAGCCTCCAGACCTGTGAGAAATACGTGTTTGTTGCTTAAACCACCCAGTTTATGGTATTATTTCTTATAGCAGCCTAAACAGACTAAGACATGGATTTAAATAGAATTTTTGTCCAAATATTTACCTCCAGCTCACTCTTCTGAGCTTGGGGCATATTTTCAATTATCAATGATCATCTCTCGCTGCAAGTCATTCAGACATCTCAAACACAGTACGGAACTGAACCCTGTCCATTTCTCCCTGACACGGCCTCCTCCTGCTTCTCTTATCTCAATTAATGGCATCATCTTCTACTAGATACCCCAGGTAGCAACTCCGGAATCTTCTGTTCTTCCTTCTGTACTCTACTCAGACACCAAGTGCCAGCCTATCTAATGAAGAAATATTTCTTGACTATATCTACTATTCTTCATCAGGGTCCCTGTGGTAGTTTAGCTTTTGACCCTTATCATTTCTGTAACTGCAATCATCTTATGACCCCAACTACCTTTCTGACCACATCCCCCCTCTCTGTTCTCACTCTGCTCCAGTTATACTGGTCTCTTTACCGGTCTAACAGGCCAGACACACTCCTGCTTCAGAGTCTCTGCCTTGCTGTTTGCTCTGCTTGGGGATACTCTTCCCCCAAATACCTGCATAACCCTTTTTCTCCTTTCTTTCAGATGTCTACTCAGATATCACCTTTTGACAAAACCTCTGAGGACTGTACTATCCAAAATTGTAAGCCTCTAACACTTGCTACTCCACTTTCCTGATCTAATTTTCTCTTTGGTATTCACTACCATCTAACCTACTACACTCTTTACTTATTTATTGTGTTTGTTGCCTTTCTTCCCTACTAGAATATGAGCTTCATGACCATCAGGCTTTGTTTTACTTACTTCTGGTATCCAGCATTTAGAAAGGTGCCTAGCACACAGTAGGTGCTCAGTGACAAATGACTTAATGAGTGAGTCTCTTCTCCATTCAATCCCTCCCCCGTGGCCTCTGATTAATCTTTTTTAAGGTACAAATTTTTATTACAAAACACTCGCTCTCTGGCTGAAAACCCTGTGTGGTCTCCTCACGGCTTACAAGATGAAAAATAAACTCCCAAGGAAGGCGTGCTAGGCACTCTCTAACCTGGCCCCAATCTGCCTCTCCAGCCTCACCTCTCCTTGGCGCCCCCCATACTTCATCCACCCACGGCTTCTCACTGGTCCTCCCACACCTTCCCATCTTGGCACAGGACAATCTGTCTGCACTGGGTGTCCTTCTATCTTCTCTCCATGTGTAGAATTGTTTCATCCTTCAGGATAGTACTGAAAGGTCAGTTTTATGAAGACCTCCCAATTCCACTTGACCTTGGCACTCCTCTTGATGTTGGACATTCCTTTCTTGTATACAGTCCTTCTCACAATGTACTGCCATCCTTTGTCTATGTGTCTGTCTCCGCCACCAGTCAGCCAGCTTTTCCAGGACAAAGCATGCCTATTCATCTTCATGTCTCTGTCAGCATCACCCCCACCCCTTTCAGACCTAGCTCCTTAATGAGGAATTCATCAATTAGACCAGTGTTGTTGTCTGAATAATGACCCCCAGAGATGTCCATGTCCTAATCCCCAGAACCTGGGAATATGTTACCTTATGTGGCAAAGGGGACCTTATAGATGTGATTAGGTTAAGTATCTCCAGGCAGGGAGCTTAGGCTGGATTGTCCGGTTGGTGACCAATGTAATCACGAGAGTCCTGAAAAGATGGAAGAGGGAAGCAGAAGAGTAGAGAAAGAGATATGGCGACATACACAGAGGTTGGAACAATGCTATTGCTAGAAGACGACATGAGCCAAGGAATGTGAGTGTCCTCTGGAGGCTGAAAAGGGCAAGGAGAGGATCTCCCACTAAAGTCTCTAGGAGAAACACAGTCCTACTGATACCTGATGCCTTGATTTTAGCCCCATAGAACCCACTTTCAGTTTCTGACCTCCAGAACTATAAGATAATAAACTGGTGTTGTTTGAAGTCGCTAAGTTGGTGGTAATTTATCATAGCGGCAGTAGATTTTAACAATATATCTAACTTGGAGTGGGGTAGCCTGAAGCCCGTAATAAGAGGCTGACTGATATGGAAGTGGTAAATCACGGTGAATGTCCCCATTGTGTCAAGAAACAGCTGTCATCCCCAGTGTGGCGTCATCCCTCTGACCCTAAGGCTCTGAAGGAATAGCACCCAAGGGGGGATCTGGGGCGAAACAATGAGCTGTGCAGATTACCTGTGCGGCCTTCAGTCTGGGCTTCCTTGCTGAAGAGCCCTCCGCTGACAGTTAGGATCTGTATCTTGTATTTCTTTCCTGGCGTTAGGTCTTCAAATTTGTGCTGCTTGGTGGCGGCTGGCTCTGATGTGTTACTCAGAAGGATCCCCTTGTCGTTTAGAAGCAGGATCTCGTACCTTTCTGCCACACCAACAGCTTTTTGCCAACTTACCATTAAGGAATGACTGCTGTATGCATTGTCGGCAATTATTCCCTGGACTGATGCTGGGACTGCAAAGGAAGAAGAGAAGCGAGTGCTGTCCGGCTCCCTCACTTAGGGTAAACCAACTGAGAAAGCAGGTGAAGAAGCTTGAAATCAACTGCAGAGAGAAGAGGATGCCACCACTCCCCTCATGTTGCATGGATACTTCCCACGTGCCCTTAGGAGAGAGCATTTCGTGGTCTGGATTATCTGTACTTTGACTCTCCATTTTTTTTCTCTGAATTTAGACAGGATCTTGAAGTCAAACAAGTAGAAAAATTAATGAAAGTGACACTGATAAATGTGCAAAGTGATTCATATGTATGTATCTAGAAAGTGGAAAATGCTGAACAAATTTACATTCAGTGGATATAGTTTGGATGGTTGAATTATGTTTAGACTTTCATTCCCAAGATTAACTCAAGTCAAAGCTTTTGGCCTTGACCTAAGCAGTAGTATATAATATATATATATATATATATATATATATATATATATATATATATATATATATTTTTTTTTTTTTTACTATGGCTCCCGATGTGAAAGGCAAAAATAGTATTATTTTTAATAATATTTTCTATCCTAGGCTCATATTTTTTTTCATTCTACATAATCTTAGGAGATCTCATCCACTCCCATGGTTTGAATTGTTACCCATATGGTGACGACTCCCAAATTTAAACTTGCAGTTCAGATCTCTCTTCTATTTTTGCAAATGACATCTCTTCCGGCATGTTCCACCCAATTCTCAAGAGGCCCAAATTGGACTCCTCAGCTCCCTCCCCATAACCTCCTTATGGTCCTTTGTTTCTCTTGGTCCAAGTCAGAAACATGGGTTGTCACTGTTATTCTACTACATGTAATCAAACATGGGTCTTGTAATTTTTATGTCCTAAAACTTGTATCTCTTCCATCTATCCACTTCTCTCCCTTCTCTATACACTGCCACGCCCCTAGGACAGTATCATCCCTCATCACCTGACCAGTGCCCTTGCTTTCTCACCTCCTACACTATATCTGGCATATTCTCATAGAAGCCCCATGCAGATGGCCCTTCAATGGCTCTCTGTAATTCTAAACACCTTAACAAGGGATACGAGGCCCTTCATGATTTGGTCCATCTACTTACTTGGCCGTATGGCTCATCTTTATTCTAGCATACCACACCATGTGTAGGTCCTCAAATGTGCCATGCTTTCTCTCACCTCCCGGCCTTTGTTTTTTCTGCTGGAACCAAGTCAACATCTGCGTGACCAGTATGACTTCTTAGTGTCTATTTAAATGTTACTTTTCCTGGAAGCCTTCCCTGACTCTTCATGTTTGCTCCTAACACACCCCATTATTACTTTTATTTTAGAAGTTATCATGTTGTAATTGTCTTTTTTATTTCTCTGTCTCTTTCACTAGATTATACGCTTCTTGAGGTTGGGGGCTCTATCTATCTTGCTACTGAATTCCCATTTTCTAACACAGTGCTTGGCATATGGTTGGAGAGACACGTATATGAAATAGAGGCACAGGAGGGCCCAGTACAGAAGCCCAGGCCCACAGCTAAATGAGTGGTTATGGGAATGGAAGGCATCTGATAAGTACTGTATCACAGTAGAGAGGGCATAAGGCTCGGAGCCAGACAGACCTAGATTTGAGTTACAGCTCTCGGTCTTATTACACGCACCCTTGATAATGTTTTATAAGCTTTCTGAGCCTTACTTTCCTCATCTGTAAGATGGAAACAATGATCTCTGTCTTCTAGTGTGACTAGAGATCATTTTAAATGCCTGGCAGACAGCAGGTGCTTTTAGCTTATTTGTGTTTTAAAAGTAATATATTATTGGTAATATAAATATAAAGAGACACATTATTCCTTGATTTGTTACTTGTTCTTGTAACAAATGAGGTAAATGGCATAGGCGTTCATTTTTAAAAGAAATTTGAGAAGGGTAAATTTTACAGAAAATAGTAAATATTTACATGTAAATAGTTACAGAAGTCCACTTGTTAAAACTCAAGTTTTTATAACCTTTAGCAAGCATGAAAATTTATTCAAATGATCTGGTTCCTAATTACCTTTCATGTGTTCTGAAGATCTCTATTACGAAAGAAAAATGCAAAAAGAAAATATGAAAAGGGCTCTTGAAAGCACATTGAATTATGGCTTTGAATTTGGGTATTTTTGACTTGTGAATAGCTACGTAAGTCCATCTGCTGTCCCACTGTGGAGAACAATCTGGCTCTTCTCCAGGTGGGCACTCACCTGTCCGCCCAACTGCATCTATCTGGTTCTTTAGGGAGCCGCTGACCGAGGCGATCACAATCTGGTACCGTTCCCCAGCCTCCAGCCTGTGGAATGTGTGCTCTGAGACGTGTTTGGAGACAGTCTGAGACTCCACCTTCTGATTCTGCCTGAACGCTGACACTGTGTAGGAGTCAACATCACCCCCACCAGGAGTCCAGTTGACTGTCAGGCTGTCTGTCGCCCCATTGGGAGAAACATGGATATTTTTGACAGCGCTTGGAACTAAAAAGGAAAATAAATTTAAAAGTCATCACTTAGAGAATGAACTGTGGAAATTTTCAACCAAAATTGTCATGCTTCTTATATTTTGGCATGTACTGAAAGAATTCACTTGCACGTATTGATACAATTTTTCTCGGGCTTTTCCACCTGAACTGAATTCGATAGGGGAAATTTAGAGGGACATCGAAGCCAACAAGTAGAAGTGAAGGATGCCAGTAGTAGAGCGAGGGGCTAGTTAGATTGCCTTGGTCCAAGTCTTGGTTTCCTCATTTACTAGCTGGGGGACTTTAGGCAAATCACTTACGCTCTGTCAGTTTCAGTTTCTTCATCAGGAAAATGGCAATTATAGTAATAGTGACCAGCCCACAGAGTTGTGAGGATTGAACAAAATGTCCACATAAAGTGCTTTGCTGTGGGTCTGGTTCATGGTAAATTGTCAATAAATGTTAACATCATAACAACACTCCTAACAGAGTTCCAAAGGAAACCCAACCAACAGAGTTATTTTTTTTAATCTGTGTGCCTCACAAGCACCAACAATTCACATCAGTCCAATGCCATTTCTCTGAAAGCTTTTTTTCTTACCCTACATTGTACGTTACTTTTGTTAATCCAGCATGGACAACATCATGGGCACCATCAAGATAACCTCGCTTCTTGCCATCTCCCTTTTACCTTGAAATCCTCAACCCAAACGCCTGGCTACCCAACATGCTAAATACACCACCACATCTACTCAAGTTCAAGAGCCACATTTCATATTACCTGTGAAGCCCTCAATGAAGGCTGACTGCTGTACTTCTCCACTGATGGTCAAGACAAGAATTTTATACTGGCGCCCTGGCGTCAGGGAGGTGAATCGATATTCAGTTGCAGTATTTACGAGGTGAAAAGGAGGAAATACTTTCATATCATTGAAGAGTAGCTGGATCTCATATTGGTCAACATCCCCATCAGCTCGTGACCAAGTCACCAGAAGGTCCTCAGTGCTCCTATTCCGCAATGTTAGATCCCTAACAGGCTCTGGGACTAGGGAGGAATATGAGAAGACACTTCAGGAAAGTGACTGATCAAACTTTACCTACACAATAATTTATGAATCACATTCAAGGAACTGGCAAACATCTCTCTTCCCCAGATAAACCACTTGAACTACTTCATGCATAATTAAATAAGAAAAATTGGAAGCAACTATTAAAATTGCAATTTTTTTCCTGACATAAATCTATGCTAAGTGTTGGTAGGATATAATTATAAAATGAATTATGACCTCAATCATAAGATAAAACAAGATGTCTAGAACTTTAAATGCCACAATGCAGGAGGACAGGGAAGAAAAATGGGACAACTGGCCTTCTTGCTCCCTGACTGTGCTTGCTTTTATCTACCAATAAATATTCTGTAATTATAGGCCATGGCTTGGCTGAATGATATTAGCTCCAAGTGAGACTGGGAATGCAATTTACTGATCAGGAAGCAGAGAGAATTCAAGGTTCAGATATTTTATTTACTCGATGACCTTCAAGTCCCAACCAACCGTCAGATTTTACAAGCTTTCCACTTACTTGTTCTTCCATTCCCCTGTTCACTGGCTTCATATTGTCCACTTCTTGTACTAACAGTAACACTGTACAACCGTCCAGGGACTAACTTAACAAATACACACTCGTTTTCAGGCTTGGGGATGCTTTTGGTTTGAATGAAGTTGTTTTTGTTTTTAATGGTGACTTCATAATGATCAAAGTCTCCAGTAGCATGCACCCAGGATACCTTTAAATAGTCACTCCTGGCCGAGTTGCTAATACTGACTCCCTGGACCTTGTCAGGCACTGAAAAAGAGAACAGAGAACAGCTGAAGATGTAGTGAGCCTAAGGGAGTAATTGATCACAGATGACAATCTGGGACAGTGAAGGTAAGTGAGTAGATTTTTTTTGGTGGGCATTTAAAAAGTTCTAGACCTTTAGATCACACGTTTCCAGAGGGGAAAGACTGTTACACTACTTGGAGTGATTAGATGGATCTTTTAACAGAACCTGATGAATTAATTCTAATCTTGTTTCTTGCCTACACAAAATGTCATGTACAAGATGGAACATTAAATATGATAAGTGATGATTAATATGAATTGATGGTGATGTTATTAATAATTGCAACATACCTTAGTGACTCAAGATGTGATAAAAAGTTACCAAGAAGAATAAAAACAATCCAAAAGAAAGATGGAAGAAGAGGAAACACATAATTAATACATGAAGAGATGTCTAACATCATTGGTGATCAAGGAAATGCAAGTCAAGACCATGGCAAAATATCACTTCATATCCATACGGTTGGCAAAATTTAAAAACCTAATAAGACCAAGTCTGAGACAGGATGCCCAACCACGGGAGAGTATGAATGGACTGGTATATATAAACAGTGAGATTATATAGCAGTCATAATTAATTTCTATTTAACTCAAAATGCAAAAATATGGATTTTTGCCTTTAACATCAAAACACAAAATATAAGTAAATCTTATCAATATAATATTAAGTGAAAAACTAAGTCTCAGGAGATTACATACTACATAAAATAACCTTTTCAAAAATAATGTTAGAACAACTAAAATTTTTTAAACCCATAATTTTAGGACTACATAAATACTAAAACTATGCAAGGTGAAAGGCAAGAAGAGAGATGAAAAGAGGAGTCAAGATGATGGTTACCTTGGGATGAATCAGTGAGGTGGGAACCACATGATTTGATACAGATTACTGTCAAGATTCTAGCTTTTATTTTGGGTAGTGGTTTCACCTGTGCCTATTACATTATTAAAAATGATTAATTAAATGCCTAAATTAAATGGAAGCCTAAAAATAAATAAAAGTGACAAAACATGGTTTCTTGAACCAAGAATTAGGATTAATCCAATTTTGCGCACCTGAGGATCTTCCAATAAATATATAAACAAATAAATAATGTGCGCCTCTCGTTTTTCTCTCAACCAAACTATCAATTGATCAATCAGTTGGACAAAGCCCATGTCCAAATCTCCCTCAAAGCAGGAAATGACCCAGAAATTTCAGTATTTTGGCATCTAAGCTATATTTTCCATGATGCTTCTCACATCTACAAGTTGCATTTTATTATCTTCTGTTAGTATATGTGTACTGGTTAGTTATTGTATTAGAATATTGCTCACTGCAGATATGGAGCCAGGTCAGGTATGCTTTCTTCAAGATATTTACCTGAACCAATTACAATGTAGCTAGAACTTATTCATCACAGAGTAAAGGAAAAGAAATTCTGAAGTTTTTATGCATGGGCTAAGTAAGAAAAGTCAATGACCCAGGCAATTTATTGAAGACAAAGCAACTATTACAGGAAGAAAAACCAGACTACATACAATGCTAAGTCAATAAGGGGCTCTTCAGGTGGAATTGGAGGTAATTTGTGAGACCTGTCTTGCTGCACGATGAGATGATGTGATACAGAATTAGAAATATTGATATTTTCACCCAACATGTAGAACAAAAGCATCAGAAAAGGAAAAGGGCTTTGACACAATCAGCCAAAATCACCAGGACAGCATCTCAGACACAACTCTATAGTTAAACTGATTTGTTGGGGACAATGGATTGCCTTGATTAGTCATGCGTCAAATCCAAGTTTACGTTGGTAAAGAGTCAAGAAGGTGCTTTGAATAAAGGATCTTTTTTTTTTTTTTTTTGCATTTAAAAACAATCTCAGCAAAAGGCCTGCAATATGAAGGTCAGATGGATAGGAAACATTCATGAGTTGACATGGAGGGGAAGCAAGTGGTTAGTAGGATGACATATCCTTTGATTCTGGTGATTTTTAGGTTCCAAGCTGATCAACATAAGACACTGACATAAGGCTGCTTCGTAAATGGAAATCTACTTTTCAGATCTCAGGCATTATTGTGATTATCAGGATAATTAGGTTTTAAGTCATTTGAGGGTAGGGAATAGCTCTTTATATCCCCAACCAGTGCTTTCAGGGATAGCATGATGTAATGGAAATAGTACTGGAACTAGGTTGAGGTTGATTACTGATCAGCCATGTGATCTTGGAAAAACTAAGTTTCTCTCTGGGACTTTATCTCCAAAAGAGATGGGATTAGATCAATTTACAGACACTTTCAGTGTTAGCATGCTGTAGCAATGTAAATCAGTGGTTCTTAACATTTTTGAGGTCATAGAAATTTTGAGAATCTGGTAAGAGCCACCCACTCACTCCTAAAGAAACACACATACCTTTCCTATCTGCAACAATTTCATGGACAGTTTTGGGGGTTATGACATTCCTAATGTCTATCCACGAGCTAAAAACTGCTGATCTAAGGGATTTCTGATTATTAATTCATTATACATTTATTGAGTGCCTATTGGATTCCAGATCCTGTGCTAGGTAATAGGATGATGTCAATTGTCCTGATCCTCATGGAAAAAATAACATTTTTTTCATAGTTTTAGATTTTTATAAGGTCTTTGAGTCCAGAAGATGATTGGCTAATTCTTGCATTCAGCAACAATAATAAAATTATGGGTGCTTATATGGGCCAGGTATTGAGAGAAACACAAAAAAGGTATGGTTCCTGATGTCAAGGCAATCACAGGGAGAGAGATGTAAATGACTGCAATGAATACTAAATGACTCCTAGAAAAAAATGAATGGGAACTTAGAGGGACACATGACACAGCTGTGAATACTAAGCATGATGGAGTTAAGTGGATAGAGGAGCAAGGTAGGAGACCCATTATAAATTTAAGTAATAAGAACCTTTGTTCAGGCTATTGGCAAGAAAAGCAAAATAAAGACATGTCAGTGAAAACTATTGTGGGAGGTCAATTAGCAGATCCTAGCAAAGGATAACATGTGTCAAAAGTGATTTCGAAATTTTCAGTTTAGGTGAGTGTGAACACACTTTGGTTTTGGGAATTTGACAAATTCATTTTTTTTACAGTATTTCTTTTCATTTCTTTTTTGTTATTATTTTCTCCAGTTTTATTGAGAAGTAATTGACATATATCACTATATAAATTTAAGGCAGATAGCATGGTGGTTTCATTTACATATATTATGAAATGATTGCCACAATTGGTTCAGCCAGCTTCTAACTGCTCATATAGATATAATAAAAAGAAAAGAAAGAAGAAAAGAGGAGAAAAATGTTCTTACTATGATGATAACTCTTATGATTTAATCTCTTAACAACTTTCTTATATATCACACAGCATGTTAGCTATAGTCATCATGGGGCACATTACATCCCTAGCACTTATTTATCTTATAACTGGAACTTTGTACCTGTTGACCATCTTCCTCCAGGTCCTCCTTCCCCCACTCTCTGCCTCTGCCTTTTTCTATGAGTTTGCTTTTGCTTTAGTTTTAGATCCTACATGTAAGTCAGGTCATAGAGTATTTGTCTTTTCTTTTTGACTTATTTCACTTAGCATAATGCCTTTAAGATCCATCCACATTGCAGCAAAGGGTAGGATTTCCTCATTTTTATGGCTGAGTACTATTCCATTGCATAGATATACCACACCTTCTTTATCCATTCATCCATGGATGGACACTTAGATTGTTTCCATATCGCTACTGTAAATAATGCTGCTATGAACACAGGGTGCAGATATCTTTTTGAGCTAGTGATTTTTGTTTCCTTTGGATATATTCCCAGAAGTGGAATGTTTGGATCTTGTGGTAGTTTTTAATTTTTTGATGATCTTCCATACTGTTTTCCATAGTAGCTATACCAATTTACACCCCCAAGAGTGCACAAGGGTTGCCTTTTCTCCATGTCCATGCCAGCATTTGTTAGCTCTTGTCTTTTGATGCTTGCCATTCTAACATGCAAGAGGAAATATCACATTGTGGTTTTAATTTGCATTTTCCTAATGACTAGTGATGTTGACCATCTTTTCATGTACGTGTTGGCCTTTTGTATATCTTCTTTGGAGAAATGACTATTCAGGTCCTTTACCTATTTTTTAATAGGGTTATTTACTTTTTTGCTATTGAATTGTATGGGTTCTTTGTGTTTTAGATATTAGCCCATTATCAGATACATGGTTTGCAAATATATTTTCCCATTCCATAAGTTGTTTCTTCACTTTGCCGATGGTTTCTTTTCCTGTGCAGAGTCTTTTTAGTTTGATGTAGTCTCAGTTGTTTGTCTTTGATTTTTTGCTTATGCTTTATGTGTCATATCCAAAAAATCACCACCAAGACCCATGTCAAAAAGCTTTCTTCCTATGTTTTCTTCTAGGAGTTCCATATTTTCAGGTCTTACATTAAACTTTAATTTGTTTCATAAACAAATGAATTTAATTCATTTTGAGTTAATTTTTGTGACTGGTGTAAGATAGGGATCCAGTTTAATTCTTTTATATGTGCGCATCCAATTATCTCAGTACATTTATTGAAGAGACTGTCTTTTCTACGTTGAGTAGGCTTGACTCCCTTGTCAAAAGAACCCTGACATTTTTAAATGCAAATATTAACCCATAGCTCAGCAGGAAAGGCTTGACAAAATATTAATGTCAACCTTAAGCAGAAATCTTAGATGTAAATCCCCAAAGCGTAAGTACATTGGGAAAATGGTAGCCATTTAAATTTAATTCTTTCCAGAACATCGAAGACCTGACATTCATTGCCTTTGCTAAGATTTTGCTTCTGGTCCCAGAACAATAAAGGTTCACATTTTCACCTTGTGTGAAAAAGAATGAACACTGGACTTTGACCAAATAGACATTTCAGGAAGGATTTTAGGACAGAGAATTTCATAAGCTGTGGACCCATTCAGAACTGGGTTTAAATACAGAAACACACTGGCTGTTTAGCTAGTTAAACAGTTGAGCAAGTTATTTAACCTCCCTGAACCTTGATTTCTTGATCTGCGAAGTGGGAATAATGACAATGACCTCCATAAGGAAATTGCAAGAATTAAGTTAGTTATGCATAAAGTCAGTGTCTAGCAACCAAAAAGTACTCCCTGAACAGAAAACACTTGTTACTATGTTTGAATATAATATGAATTCTAGCCATGAAAGTAGTGTTCATCTTACTTTAAAGGAAACATCTGCTCACATAAGGATGTTCTAGGGTCAAAACTTGAAGACTCAGAATTCTGTGATCTCAACAGTCTTTAATCCTATCATTACAGAAATGTTGCAGATCTGATGCCTTGAGCCACATAGCCAGCCACTTCTTTCTTCTTTCTTTCTTTTTTAAAGATTTTTTCGATTTATTTGACAGAGAGAAAGAGAGAGAGAGAGAGCACAAGCAGGGGGAGAGGCAGGCGGAGGGAGAGGGAGAAACAGGCTCTCCGCTGAGCAGGGATCCCAGGACCCTGGGATCATGACATGAGCCCAAGGCAGACGCTTAACTGACTAAGCCAGCCAGGCGCCCCTAGCTAGCCACTTCTTACAGAGCCTGGCTCTCCTTAGAGCCTTACCTGTTCGCTCCTGGCTGAAGGAATGGTTTTCATACTTGCCGCTCCTCGTAGTTATAGTCACATTGTAGAGGCGGCCCGGGGTAAGGGAGCTGAAGGAACATTCACTGACAGACTTGGCAATAACGAGGGACTGAACGACCCTGCTGCCATGAGAGAGTGTCACCACATAGTTATCCACGTCTCCAGGAGCCGGCAGCCAGGAAATGCTCAGGTAGTCATTGCGACCAGAATTGTTTACCGTCACTCCGCTCACACTGGAAGGGACTGGGATTGAAAAGGCGGAGAAAATTTAAAAAAGAAAGTACAGTCAAAAGTCTGGAGTCATCTACTGCGGTCAGCAAAAACAGTGTGCACTCAGGAAATCTCATCTGATTACCTAAGAGGTCAAAGACGTGTGAGGATTTCACCTTAGCTTCTGGAAGCTGAGTGTTCTTGGATCAGCAAGGCTAACCCAAATAAAAATGCAAGGAGGTCTTTTGGGTGCCTCATAAATATAAGGACGCCACTACTGCATTTTTATAGTGTTGCTGTTTGCAAAGTATTTTAAGTGGAGGCATTTTTATGTGCATGTGTCAGAAGGTTCCCTCTGTAGGAAAAGGAACAAACATAACAATCCAAATGAATCCGTTCGAACCAAACTCATCAATAAGCAAAGACGTCTGAAGGGAAAGATGAAGAATGCCATACCTTTTCTAAAGAGCTTAGACTTTGGGATAGCTTTGATCTTCCTGTGATGAAGTTATTTATTCCTGGGGAGTCTAATGAACAGGAGGAGAGGTGTTGCATCTACCCTTTATAAAGCATTTCCTGCCCTCTAGTGGCAAGAAATAAACCTAAAAGCCTATCCTGAAAATAACAAATCTGGAGATTGACCTAACAGTGGGCATAAGGAGCTATTGCGATGATAATGGCCATTATCGTTTGCTTATTTTAATTGGGGTTTAGTGCCACAAACGTTTATTGAGAACCTACCATTTGCCACATATACAAAAATGGAAAAGATGTGGATGCCTTCAAGGAGCCTCTTGGCTAGATGCAGTATGCAAATTAATCATTGTGGTATTGAACAGTAGTTATACACGTATCAGAAATAAGTGTACAGTAACTAGTACTGCCCGTAGTAAATATCAGAATAAAATCCTGTAGTGTATGTGAACTGCACTACTGTTTTCATCATTGGTTCACTACTGCAGCTAAATATCTTCATATAATTGTCAATATCACTATATCACGTACAATGGACAGGACCCAGCTAGATGACCTTTGAGAATCCTCCTAATCTAATATGCTCCAACTTTGTGATTTAAGCCTTCAAGTCTTCTTTGCACTTACAAGCACTTGTCCATCACCAAAAATTATAAATAGCACCATACTGAACAGCTCTGCTAATGCTGTTCCATGTATATGAACGTTTCCTACACATAAAGTTGAACATTTTAGCCATAATATTTCTGTATTGATGTCTTCCTCCCTCTCTTCCTCTTTCCTTTCCCTTTATTTAACAAGCTGTATATCCCTTGGTTGCTCTCAAAAGAATTATGCTTGTTTTTCAAAACTTCTAGAAATATTTGCAACTACTAACATTTTATTACAAAAGATACAATTATCAAATGTTTTGTCAAAAATATAAATTCATGTTTACAAAAAAACCCAGATCTAAAATTTGTTTTTCCTTTAGAACCAGCATTTTCTCAGGTTGGAACTAGATTTGTTAAGCGTATCTGATATCTTTAACTTTGAATATTTTGCCACCTTCTCTAGGCTAGGCAGGTTTATTTATAGTTTCAACTCTGTGGAAATAGAAGTGAATAAGAAAACCTTTCAAAACCTTTCAATTATTTCAGCACTGACCAACATTTCAGCAATTTGAGTAGATGGCAATGATTATCAAGGCTTTAGTCATTGAATGTTTCACAATCTACCACATATAAAATTTACTAACCTAGGCATGTTTCAAAATTGCTAGTTATTGTGTTTCTCTAGTAGTATCCCATTTGCCTCCTGCACTCTTAATGTGCTTGAGTAAAATAACTCGTGCTTATATTTATTCATATTTTGCCCTCTCCTCAAAACCTTATGATCATTCTTCAAAGAATTTCTTGTCTTGTTTTTGCATACTTCTGTTATATACTGTGGGTCAAAAACTGATACCTCTGCTACAATTAAAACAGAGGCATAAAAACAAAGCCCCACTCATTTCAAGTGGTATCAGGTGCCAAACTATGCCAGCATATCATAGTAAGTTGGAAAGCCCTAGACGTATTTTAAAATTTGGGAATTAACTTGTGTGGCAGAATCTGACTAGTTGTTAAGCAAACTATTTCCTTTTCCTCTTGGACACACAGCTAGGCTATATTTCCCAGTCTCCCCTGCCATGAAATGTAGCCATTTAACTGTGTTCCAGCCAATGGAACATGGGGGGAAGTGACGTGTCTACTTGCTGGTCTGGTCATCTTCCCCCACCCAATGATCTCTATTCTCTGGGGAAATGGACAGAATTCTGAGAACCTAGGGGAAGGAAGAGCCACAGATGGAAGGAGCCTGGATCCCTGAGTTACTGCTTGGGAAAGAACCAACCCATAGAGCTGTCTAATCAGGAATCCCCACGTTGTCCAGTTGTGTAAGCAGGAAATAAGTCAGTCTGATCTGACTAATACAACTGAAACCTGCTGAGAAATGGGTGCAAAGCCCTTCCCAACCCTCTCCTCAGCTTTCTTATTTCTCCTTCCCTACTCCGACAGGGATAAATTGGAGTAAGTTAGTGGGGATGGATTAGAAACTGGAAGCTTCAAGATGTAAGTTAATGGCAGAGGTAGGACCAGAATCTGGGCCTCCTGATTCATTCCAAAGCTAAGCTTTTCAGCCCCCCACCCCCAATTATGCTACACCAACGGCTGGTGCCAAGAAGTACTAAAAGAGAAGAAGGAAGGTATGGGGAAGAAGGATGTAGGTAATGTCAGCTGCCATAGAATGAGAAAAATGGCACATATCAGTGAATTTCTACCAAAACTATGAAATATCTTTTCAATGACTTAGTTGCATTTCTGGGAGAGCTAATGAAGTTCATGTTCCTTGGGTTCATTAAGTAGATAAGATTCATGATTTTTAAAAAGGGACATATCTATGATGCCTGCAGCTAATACTCAGAATCCGAGCTTCAGAAATACAGAAGGAGGAGCCTGAAATCCAACTTATAATCATATAGAATTAAGTAGGCATATTCGCTGACCTGATTCTGAGTTCATTAATAATTATCAAAGCTTCTACTCAATGTCTTTAATTTTTTTCTTTCTAAGAAACTGGAACATAAATTTTATACTGTTTATTTATATCCTTTCTTGGTCTTGTGTAGAAAATTGTATTTCCTTCTTTGGTGCCAGCCCTGTCTGACACAGATGATCATATGCCACTTGTTTGTTGACTTAGCTCTTTGCCCTATTTGACTGTGATCTCTCCAAGGTCAGGGAAACATTGTTTAGGTGGTTATAGTATTAAGCACTTGTTTAATGCTGCTTATGAAAACATATGTGATTTGGGAATTTTATTAACTCCACTTTGCACCATAGAAGTTGGAGGTCATTTCCTTACTATGTCTTGAAACAAGAATATGAAAGAGAGTGGAATATACTTTCTTTTTTAAAGTCTCATTACTTGTTTATCTTAACTGGGACATAAACATTAAGGAAATCATCAACTGAATGAGGGGATAAGCTTAGGCATCAAATGACCATTATGTTACTACAAAGGTTTTTCTAGAAGTTCTGACACCTTTAGGGGAGATTTTAGAAAACTTAGAATTCATTCTTGCCTACCCTCACCCACCCCCCAATTTCCATTGTTAGGAGAGCAACATGTATGGATGGTTGGTATTGAAACCTGGCTTCCAAGGAAAGTCAAAAATGGATCTGTTTTTCGGGTGTTTCAAAACATCCTAGAATATACTCTGGAGTTTCCCTGTGCTCTTCTTACCTGTCCTTCCCTCCACCACCACTTGTCGGGATGAGATCCCGCCGCTCACTGTTGTTACCACCACAGAATAGAGGCTGCCTGATTTGAGGGAGTGAAAGCTGTATCTGCTGGTCTCACTGGAGACACTTTCATTTTTGATGACCACGTTTTCATGGATCAGTAAGACTTGGTAGAATTCTATGTCTCCCAGGGCCTGGGTCCAGTTAGTAAACAGACTGCTGGTTGTTCCTTGGTTGGCCACATACAAGCCAGTCACTTGGGCAGGCACTAGAACATGGAAGACAAAGAGAAGAAGAAAAAAAAACCAGATGACATTTAGTCACCCTGAGGAAGTGTAACAAAATGAGTCAAAAATGGAGACAGTCTTAAAAATGCTAAAAATATATCTATTTTTTTTGCTATAGACTCTCAGCTCTATTTCCTGTGGCATATGGCAAACTACTCCCATACAGAAGCTGCTTATATGGGAAATCAAAATTACTTCAGATCCATGGATGAGATGATGCATACCTATTAAGTAGTTTTGAATTTACATTTTCAATAATGAAAGAATGTTGTTTTTGAATATTGCTTACTTTATGTGATTTTATCTGTCCTTATCCCATGAAAACTGAGAGCCACATTATCTACCTGAGCTGATGGTTGTTAAGGGGTGGTATTGGGAAACCCCTTCCACCTGATGATTAGGTTGTAGTTCAGAAAACTGGCTAATTCTTTACTGGCACATTCTCAAGAGCACCATTATTATTATACATGAAAATGTTACAGTAGTATGAATTACATCATATAAGAATAGTAATAATAATAATAATGATAACCACAACAACTGGTAGTGATAACTACTGAGTGCCTGCTATGTGCCAGTTTTTAGAAATTATATTATATTATTATATATATATTATTATATTATTTGATACTCATTCAAAATTCTATAAATTTGATTTCATTGTTCTCTTTACTGAGGAGGAAACCAAAGACCACACAATGTAAGTAATTTAGCCTACTATCAGAGTGCTAACAAATAGTCATCTAGGAGTCCAAAGCCTGATCTGTCTAACCTGTGAGCTTGTGTCCTTTTCCTAATTAGCAACTATTGTGATTTCTAACCTACCCATTAAAAAAAATCTCTTAAACAGATCTGGAAGCTGGTGTTTGATCAACATATATCTTCTTTGTGCCTCTTCCCTGAATTATGGTAATTAAAAGGATTGGAACCTTGGCATAATAGAATTTGTTGACTTTTGGATTAAGATACAAATACACTCATTAAAAAATACTACTGTACAGGAATCAGAAGATTCAATTCTCATTCTAAATTTCATATGGAAAGCAAAGGAATTAATATGCCAAATAATTTTGAAAAAGAAGAACAAAGTTGGAGGAGTAACATCATCTGATCTCAAAACTTACTAGAAAGCTACAATAATGAAGGCAATGTGATACTGGCAAAAAGACAGACACACACATCGATGGAGCAGAAATGAGAGTCCAGAAATAGACTAACACATATAGAGTCAATTGATTTTTTACAGAGATGTGAGGGCAGTTGGGTGGAGGAAGAATAGTTTTTTCAACAAAAGGGCTGGAATTATTAGATGTCCATAAGCAAGGAAATAAACCTTAACCCAAATCTCATACACATATAAAAATGAACTCAAGATGGATTATGCACCTCAATTAAAAACCCAAAACTATAAAAATTCTAGGGGAAAATCTTTGTGATTTTGTGTAAGGCAGAGATTTCTTCAATATGACACCAAAAGCATGGTTCACGAGAGAAAAAAAAAAAAAGATAAATTGACACCAAAATAAAAAACTTATGTTCTGCGAAATATACTAATAAATTAATCAAAAGACAAACCACAGTCTGAGAGAAACCATTTCAACCCACATTTCTGACAATGGACTAATATCTGGAATATAAAGAATTCTCAAAATTCAATGATAAAAAACAAATAACCCCATCAAAAAATGGACAAATATTTGAAAATATGTTCTTCCCCAAAGAGGATAAAGGAAAGGTAAATAAGCATATGAAAAGATGCTCAAAACCATTAGGAACTAGGGAAAGGCAAATTAAAACCACATGAGATACCAGTACATGCTTATTAGAATGGTTAAAAAAAAAAAACCTTGTAATACCAAGTGTTGTTGAGATTATGGAGGAACTGGAAATCTCATATATTCCTGGTGAGAAAGTAACATTTTACAACCATTCTGGAAAACAATTTGGTAGTTTCTTACAAAGTTAAAAATACACTTACCATATGACCCAGCAATGTGAATGTTGGGAATGATGAAAATGATCTTAAGAATAAAAGAGTGCCTTGGACTTCCAATTCCTGCAGTATAGTGGGCAGCATACCCCCAATAAACACAACTACATGTGTTGGATAAAATATAAAAATGTAGATGTATGAGTGAGTTGTCAAGAATGTAAGGAATTCTCAAAGACTTGATAGTAAGTGATAGGTAATCGGTCCACTGAAGCATACTTTCATCTTGAGGGCATCTTTCAAACATAAATTTAAGCTTTGATTTTACAGCTTTGCTGGATCTATGAAATAGGAGGTAAAGTGTAGGACTTTCACAAACTAAGGAACCTCATAGGTGACCCTGCATAACATTGGATCCTGAAAGGTTACATTCTAAGTGTAAGTGAAATAAATATTCCCTTTCTGCTTCTCATATCACCCCAGCCTCCTTGGCACTGGGTGAGAATTCATAACCTCAAAACAGTTTCAGTGAGTTTGCAACCCAAATTCATAAAACCTGGGTGATCAAAAAACCTCAGGTTGACAGTTTTGATTAAAATAGGTCTGGGTTGATAGCAGTCCTGTGCACCTCAAAGAATCAAATGAAAAGAAAATTCTTTCTAAAACCCATCTTTAAACAAGGACTCAAAGAATTCCCACAGAATAAATTTCCAAGGTATATGACTTTACAGTGAAAAATCACAAATATTTAAGGAAGTAAAACACCATGTGCAAAAGGCAGCAAACTCAATAGACAACAGGACTGAACTCCTGAAGATTTTGGGTATTTTAATTATTAGACATAGAAGGTAAAATAAAAATGGTTTATTTACTGATAGTAATAAAGGAGGATAATGGAAATATGACTAAAAAGCAACTGAGCACAAAGCAGATTTGGAAAGAGAGCCAAAAAGAATGTTTGAAAGTGAAGAAATGAACAATTAAAACTTAAAACTCAATGGACGGATTTAAAAAAGATTGGACAGAGCTGAAGAAAGAATTAAGGAACTAAAACACAGGACTTGAGGAAATTATTCAGACTATAGCCCAGAAAGCAAATACATGCAAAATATGAAAAATATACATAAATTCTAGACTACCAGAAGGAGAATAGAGAGGGATTAGAGAAAAGGCAAGAGGCAATATCAGAGAGTTAGTGGGTGAGAAATTCCAGGGTTGATGGAAGATACTAGTCTGCAAGTACAGAAATCATCATGATCTCAAGCAAGATAAAGAAGTCTATATCTAGGTTATTACTATAAACAATAGAACACCAAAGGCAAAGAGTAAATCTTAAAAACAGTCATAGTAAACAGATTACCCAGAGAAAAGTAGAAATTAAACTGACACCTGACTTTTCAACAGCAAGAATAATTGCCAGAAAGACTACAACAAAATCTTCAATGTGCTGAGAGAAAATAACTTTCTCTCTCTCTCTTTTTTTTTGAAAGTAACTTCCAACATAAAATTGTAACCCAGGGAAAATATCTTTCAAGATTGAGAGCTATATAAAGACATACACAGAAAAACAAAAGTGTAAAGAGTTTGTCCCTAAAAACACTAATAAAGAAATTTGGGGGTGCCTGGGTGGCTCAGTCGGTTAAGCGTCTGCCTTCGGCTCAGGTCATGATCCTGGGGTCCTGGGATCAAGCCCCACATCAGGCTCCCTGCTCATCAGGTTCCCTCTCCCTCTGCCCCTCCCCTACTCATGCTTGCTCTCTCTCTCAAGTAAATAAATAAGTAAAATCTTTAAAAAGAAAAGAAAAGAAATTTGAAGACTGTTCTCCAAAATGAAGGAAAGTAATCCCAAATGGAACTTGTGAGATACAGGAAGGAAAGATGAGAAGGTAAGTGGTAATTTTTTGTGGGGTTAAAAAAGGAGAGATAAATAAAATACAGGACAATATATATAAATTGGAAAAGGGAGTCTTTGATGATTTTGCTTCCTATTTCACTGAGAAAAAGAAGAGCGTTATCAAAGGATAATTGCCCACCACTACATCTATCTACTTACTGGCATATGCATCCAATACTCTTTTTTCCCCAGCTGACCCTAAAGTTAAATTACTCATGCTCCTTTCTAAAGCCATTTCCTTTACTTGTGCTCTAGATCCCAGAGCTTGCTTGCTCATAGAATAACTGCAGCAATTCTTCCTTTCTCTTTACATCATCATCATTCCTTTCTCTTCTAGAACATTCCTATCAACATGAAACTTGTTATTTCTTCTATCCTTAAAATCTTCCTTTCAAATATACTTCCTCTTTCAGATGATGTCCTATTTCTCTGCTCTCCTTTGCAGCAAAACTCTTTGGAAAAGTTGTTCTCTGCTCTGCTTCAATTTCAAAATAAAACCAAACAAATTTCAAAACAAAACAAAACAAGACAAAACAACTAGCAAAGAGTTGCAATTAGTATAATAGAAAACAAACAATAGAAAACATTCATAAAACAATGACCAGTACAAAATAGGCATTCAGTGAACACTTGTAAATTAAATGTTAAACAATTCAGTAGACAGGATACTTTTTAAAGTCTAAAATTTATAAACAATATTACCTGTTCTTCCTTTAGTTGAAGATGAATTTTTTAAGTCTCCACTAATACTGGTGACTGTAGCAATGTATTTTCGTCCAGGCACCAGGTCAGTAAAAGTGAATTCTTTGGCATCTTTGGGGAGCGACTTGTGGATGAGTAAGAGGTCTCTGTCAGCTAGTGAAATGATGTATTTCTCCCATTCTGCTACAGGAGTCTGCCACATGACGCCCAGTGAGGTTTCATTGGCATGTTTGACACGAAGCTGGAGGACAGCCAGGGGGACTAAGGAAAAAGCAATGGAGACTGTGTCATTGATTTGATTCAGAAATACTCGAGTATTTCTTAGAGAGCTGTTCTCTTCCAACCACAGGAGTATTCCAGTTCAGCATTTCTTTTCTGAAAGTGTATGAGCTCTCAGGAAAAAAAAAAAGCTAATCACAAAAACTGTGTGTGTGTGTGTGTGTGTGTTTTCAAGATTTTATTTTTAAGTTATCTCTACACCCAGTGTGGGGCTTGAACTCACAACCTTGAGATCAAGAGTTGTGTGCTCCACTAATTGAGTCAGCCAGGCGCCCCAAACTTTGTTGATATAACCTATCCAGAAAGGAGGATTCAAAAGAATACTATTGGAAAATGCTTTCCTGGGTCATTTATTTTTGACCACATATTACCTTGAGTGTTTATTTCTTCATATGAATTCTATGATATGAAAAGATTTAATTCAATCATGTCATCCATAAAACCACTGAGAAAGGTCCATATTTGACTATTTAGATGAAGTTAGAAGTATTTTTTACTCCACCAGATTGGAAAGACAAAGTGCTGCTTCTCTTCATTTCTGAGAAATGGGCACTAATGTATCCATGAAAGGGAGAGTATAGCTGGCAAGCAAGAATAGTATCTGGTTAAAGACTCCCATTAACCAAAGAATGGAAACTGTTTCCATTTCTTTAAAAAGTTTTATTACAATTTCTAGGAGACATTGCCAAGAGTAAAGTACTGGTCCCACAAAACACTAGGGAAACAAAACTATGGAAGAACCAAGTGTATAAAATTATATTGATTTTTGCATCAAAGAAATTTTCTATAATTCCATTCTAACTGAGTCCCTAAATCTGTATCTTCCTTCTTTAATATATTGAAATGAATTGGATTGATACATCAAAGCCTACCTCAATTAACCTTATTTATCTAGAGGTACAGTTTAAGAAAAGTTTTCCTGGTAATTATGCCACCATGCTGAGAGCCCCTAGGTTTCTTGACAGTATTCCAAGTTATTTGAGGTGGTGAGATAAAATATTGGAGAGGACATAGATGCTTGTTCTGTGAAATGCTAAAAGTAGCTTGGTTTAAGCTTATATAGGTCTTTGATCATTATCCAAGGGATATTAATATTTGGAAAATGAAGATACGACTGGAAGACCCAGTTGGCAAGCTAAGGAGGTGTCTTGGTCCTTTGCTTTGACAGTCTTCTAAGAAGAACATTGAATCAAAGTAGTTATTTCCTTATCATCAGGCAAGACTAAGAGAGAAGATATTTGAATTTCACTCTAAGTATGGAGTATTCCATGTCATAGAAATATTGAGCTTGGAAGGACAATTCTCTTATTTGAAAGTTGAGGAAACAGACTCAGAGGGGTTGTGACTTGCCCAAGGAATTACAGTATAGTGGTGACAGCAAGAATACCAAAACCCATGCCTCCACATCCTCATTCTCCTCTACCCTAAAATCCAAATATATTCCACTTCCCTTTAATAACCTTTCCTTGGTACATGAAATTCCCTCACGAGTCAACATTAGGTCAAGGCAATGGTTCTCAAACACTGATCACTGGCAAAAAAAATGTCAGTTGTCTTCTTTTGTGGGAAGGATTCTCCGATCGTTTTCTTCCTATTCTTTTGGTGCTTAAAATGTCTTTCTTTTTATAAAATAATGGACTTACTACTGGAAGCAATTTTAATGTTCTATTTTGACAAAATTAAACATTACCAAAACTAATTCAGTCTAAAAGTCTACAATATCTCAAATTCACGGAACACGGTGGGGGTGGAGGGGGTGGGCACGACATTGACAGCTACCTGGGTTACTTGGGAGAGGGACCAAGTTAAAGTTCTAGCAGTCATTAACACCTTCGTATTTGCTTACCCGTCCTGCCTTGGCAACGCTTCGAATTCTTCAGATTTCCACTCTCAACAGTGACTTCTACTTCATACTGTCTTCCCGGTATGAGCCCCACATCATCTATGGCATAGTGTGTTTCCTCCTTTCCCACGGTGATATTAAGCAGCACCACAGAATCATTGAAGAGTAGGATACGATACTGCTCCCAGTCTCCAGCAGGGGGCGACCAGCTCACTATTAGGGACCTTATCGAACCATTGCTGTTTACCTCCAGGTTCCCAACTTTCTCTGGAACTAAACGGTGAAATGATGTCAAAAAGGAGATTCTAAAAACCAAAAGTAAGGATACTCATTCACTTTTCATGGGCAACAGTAGATAAGAGACCTAATACCTGCAATTCAAAACATTTCTATCCCCTCCTGATGTTTGGGGATTGCAAATGAGTATTCTTTCCTAATGTTGGAGGCATCCGGCACTCAAGAAATGTATGCTAAAATCATCTAGTAATATATCAGTAATGCAATCTTCTGTAACACTGTTAATAACCTAACAATATGAGCGCTGTGTTTTATTGGCTGCACACCAGCCCCAGAGACAATATTGATGTTGCTTCTAATGATGTTGACATCGATGGATGCGGTGTCTTTTGGTAGAGACACTGCATGTTGTGATCATGAAACATTCCTCCCTTTTCCAACTGACAAGACTAATCTCTTGCAATATAGCTCTGGTCCAATTATTCCTTTGCTTAAAAACATGCAAGGTCTCTCCATTAATTACAGAATAAAATATTAAGTCCTGGGTGTGGCATTTGTAGCTTTCCAAAATCAGACCCCATATCCTCTGGTCTTAATTCTGACTACTCTCTGCAGCCGCCCTCCCTGCTTCTGCACTCTCTCCCATGCTGGCCTCCAGTTGTGTGTTCTGAAGACCTGTAAGTGTCCTGGGCTCTTCTGCCTCCATGCCTTTGCTTATATTATTCCTTCGACCTCAAATGCCCTTCCCTCTTTTCCCTCTCCGCTTGCCAAGAGCCTCACAATTTTTAGGTCCAGTTAAAGACCGTTCCTCTGAGAAGTCTTTACTGATCTTCTGAACAAGAATTTTCTCTTGGTTTTCTGACCATATGGTTCTTACTTGGAATCTCTAACAGCACAGAGAATGGACTCTGGAATTAAATTCCATCCCCACCATTCACTGGCTGGATGACTATGGACAAGTTATTTGAGCTCTGAATTATCTGTAAAATGGTGATAATAACAGAACCTCTCTCATGGTAAGGGTGTAAAGTGTTTGGTTAGTACCTGATACATGGCAACACCTATGCGATTACTCTTATTAAAGTGTACTATTTTTATTTTTTGTGTGTATAGTCTACATTTGTCTGATTAAAATGTAACTTCCTTAAAAGCAATGGTTGGCAAGGTAAATATTTTAGGCTTTCCAGGCCACATATGGTCTCTGTCTCATATCTGTCTTTCTTTTTGCTTTTTAAAAAAACCTTTTAAATATGTGAAAACCACTCTTAGCTGGGGCTACACAAATACAGCTCACAGGCCATATTTGGCAAAGGGTGTAGTTTGCTGAACCCTGACATTTTAATAACTTCCCAAATCATAGCACAGTAATTTATACAAAGAAGGCACTGGATAAATATTTGGCGACATAAATTAATAAAATAATTCATGGAAAACATGCTTAAGTGCTAACTGGCTCTCACTATAAGGGTTGGTCAGAAATGTTTTATTCATTAGTATCAATGCTAATGCATTTACACTACTTAAGTGGTGTGACATGAAACAGCACAGGGCAGAGCCAGTTATGCACATCATTCAGGAATCACTCCAAACACATTTGCTTAAATAACTCAGATGAATGCAATTAACCTCTGTTTCAGTCTGTATAGGGGGCCCTGGCCCGTGGGCACCCTCAGTCATATAGACCATATTTCCCAAATTGGAAAAGGAGTCTTCCCTGTAACTTATTTTGTTCTGATGGATCAGAGAATCATCTGGGCAACCAAGGAATATTCTGGAGCCCTACACTCACCTGTTCTGCCCACTGCCATCTTCTGAGCAGACAATTCACCAGAGACACAGCTGATGGTAACTTGATAAAGACGTCCAGGGATTAAGTCTTTAAATTGGGTTTCTGTAACTTGGGGTGCTAATGTTCTGGATTCTTTGATAGTCCCTTGGTGAAACAGGGTAATGTTGTAGGAATCCACATTTCCAGAAGGTCTTTGCCACTTGACTTTTAGAGAGGTCAAAGTGCCATCATTTGTCACCTTTAGATTTGAGACTTCCATGGGGGCTAAATAAGGAGGAAGGAAAGGACACTTTAACTCAGGATATTGTACCTGTCTTATTATGGCCAAATTTTGACCTGCATTTTAATCCCTGCAAGCCACACTCCCTGCTCAGAAGGAAACAACAACTTCACGAGCAAAAAGAATACTGCAAAATCAAAGAAGGGCTATCTGGCCGGTGGAAAGAGCATAAACATGGGAGTCAGGAGCCTGGATTCTGGCTCAGACTTGGCCATTAGTCAGATGGGCAACCCTGGATAGCTCTATCTCACTGAGCCTAGGGATCCTTACTGGCAAATGAGGTCTTGGAAAGCTCAAAGAAATCTGTCATCTGCCTAATTTCTTCCCATCTTTATGTATTTAATAATAGCAAGTACATAATAAATAGATTGGTCAACTCATTGGCCATCACAAAATTTTGCATCCTAAAAATATTTTATTTTTCATATAAAATGATGATAAAGTTACAGCTCAAGAATTGTGTCATTCTTTCTTTTTTTTTTTTTTTAAAGATTTTATTTATTTGACAGAGAGAGAATGAGAGAGAGAGCACATGAGAGGGGGGAGGGTCAGAGGGAGAAGCAGACTCCCTGCTGAGCAGGGAGCCCGATGTGGGACTCGATCCAGGGACTCCAGGATCATGACCTGAGCCGAAGGCAGTCGCCCAACCAACTGAGCCACCCAGGTGCCCAAGTGTCATTATTTCATCAAAGGAAAATGATTACAAAAGAAAGACACTTCAGTGAAAATTTTTTCTACCTCTTGGCTATGTTGTAATTTTGGGCTTCACTAACAGCAAAATAAAAATTAATGCTTCATTTTAAAAATGGGCACAGCATACTGCTTTGCATAGGCCAGTAAGAAGTGTAATTTGCTCTTGCTATACATAAATAATTCTTCATATATGAGGTACTTTTTAAAAAAAGATTTTATTTTTCAGCAATCTCTATACCCAACATGGGGCTTAAACTCACAACCCTGAGATCAAGAGTTGCATGCTCCATCATCTGAGCCATCCAGGCGCCCCAAAATATATGGTACATTTTTGTTGGAAATAGCTACACATCTTTGAGGTGTGATATGAAGATATGTAAATGTACAGGTGCCCCCAAATATCTTTCCCATCAATCTCTTGTAGCTCCAAGAGCCCCCTGCGCCAGGGTAATTTCTAAGGCACCACATACCTAAAAGTTTCTCTTAAAATCAGATAGCTTACTGAGAGAGGGAATTTATTAACACATTAGACCCATCAGAAGCATTAGAATGTACTAGAATTTAAGTTCCATAGGGCAAAGACTTGGGCCTTCTTGGGCACTGTTATATCCACAATGCCTAGCATACAGTTTATACTCAACAGATACTGAATGAATGAATGAATGAATGTGTACATGAATTATTCACTGAAATTTAGCACAGATTAATTTATCCAGCTATGTTAGGCTATGAGAACAACTCCTATAGTATTGGGTCTCAGGACATGTTTTGTTGGGTACAGGGTTTAAGAAATGGCTGTTTCACAGGACCAGGTCTTTGATTAGCACTGAGAAAAGTTATCTTGGCTCATTGTGAGTGATGTCACAAAGGCAGTGGATGCTCATTTAAGAGAAGGAAGTAGGGGGGAGCCTGGGTGGCTCAGTCGTTAAGCGTCTGCCTTCGGCTCAGGTCATGATCCCGGGGTCCTGGGATCGAGCCCCGCATTGGGCGCCCTGCTCGGTGGGAAGCCTGCTTCTCCCTCTCCCACTCCCCCTGCTTGTGTTCCCTCTCTCACTGTGTCTCTCTCTGTCAAATAAATAAACAAAATCTTAAAAAAAAAAAAAAAAAGAGAGCAGGAAGTAGGAATCCCTATCAAAGAGGTCAGAATACTAAAAAGATAACCTGAGACTGTATCAGTGGTTAACTTCGCTACTTCAGGCTGGTCTAAAATTTAGAATACAAGGGAGTCCCTCTTTCTCTGAATAGAAAAGTGGGTACATCTTAAGGGCCTTCTGTAACATGCAAATTTCAATTTGTCTCATATTATCATTATTCAAATAATTTAATAAGCCATGGTTATTAAACATTTCCTTGCTGTGAGCTTTATTTTTGTTCAGCTAGTTAGTGGAACTTACTTGTCCTGGCCGGTTTCCATCTGTAGTTTTGCAGCCCTGCAGCCTCGGTCACAATGGTAAGGTTATAGAGGTGTCCAGGTGTCAGTCCGTGAAAACTGAAGGAAGTAGCATGTTTGTCCACGACACTGCCATGAACTAGGACATCTTTATCCATCAGCAGTAGCTGGTATCTTTCTACATTCCCAGAGCCATGGGACCAGGAAAGCAGGAGAGAATTGGTTTTTGCTGAAATATTGATATCTTTCACTGCGGATGGCACTAGGAAAAGAAAATGCATTTCCAAAGGGTCATTTATAATTTCCTTAGAGGAGACATAGACATGTTTAATTCGAAATCACACATTCATGTATGCTTCTCTGTACATCTAATTTGTGTAATAAGTAATGGCTACAGCACTCTTGAAATTTCACTGGATTCTGAATTAATGCTCTTTTCAAAGTCCACGCCTAAAGCTACATCGTAGTTTACCTGTCTCTCTCCCCCACTTAATAGGTACTAAGGTAATTTTTGCCCATGAAGTATGATGTGGCAGAGCAGCAAAGAGACAATAAAGGGAAGAACAATGGAAGACGAAAAACAGAAAGCAAATTATAGCAATAGATCAGGAGAGAAAATGAGAGGAGAGAGCATGACCAGAAGGACAGTACTTCATGGAAGGAGGTGAGGTGTGCCATTGGTATCGGGATGGGCGGGTGCAAGCAAAAACTTGTTCCAGATGTAGGGATATTTAGGAAACATCATGACTTGATGTTATGAGGAGAGTATACAAAGGAGGAAAACACTTAAACGTAAGTTTTATGGCACAAACTCAGAAATGGAGGCAGAAAATGCTGTTGCCTAAGATTTGAGTTAGGAAGGCCATTAGGAAACATCTACTTCATTTTGGAGAAAATTCCAGTCCCAGAGAAGTCCCAGAACTTGTTCAGAATCACCTAGCAAGCTAGCAGTACAGTCATATTTTCTTACTTTTAGTCTAGTCTTCCCACTGTACTGCATAACATTTGTCTATCTGTCTATCAACTTACCTATCTGTCATCTTTGGTCTGGGGGCATTCTTACTTCTATCTCTTCAATTTTAATGTAGTTCCAAAAGGAGCCTAAACGATGAAATACTCAACTATCTGTAAGCAGGTCTTACCTGTTGATCCATTGGTATAAATTGTAAGGGAACGTTTCTCTCCAGAAACAGCTGTGATGGCAATATTGTATTTATTACCAGCAGTGAGGTTAAAAAATGTATGTTCATTCCATGAAGTACTTTCTTGAATTTGGGTCTCCTGTATCTTTTGGTTATTGTCAAACAATTGGATCTCATACCAGGTGACTTTTCCAGAAGAAGGAGTCCACCAAACATGCAAGCTGGTTGAAGTAGTCTTCTCTTTACTGACTTCAAACTTAGCAGGAGGTAAAGGATCTGCAAGGCAAAAATCCAAAAAGAGAACACGGCTTAAAGATTTTTGCAAATACATGTTAGTTTGCTGGAACCCAGATTCATTTTCCTTAAAAACTTTAAGAACCTGCTGCCCATGAAACAAATCGGTATTTTACTCCACTTTTAAACTTACCATTTCATTTAAAAAAGAAATCCACTTAGCTACTAGTCATATAAACTTCTTTTTCTAATAAAACTTTTTTGTTAAGACAGCTCTGAGCTTAGAATTCCAAGTAAGGTTATATTTTCGTTGGCTTGCAAGTTTAGCACTTTTCACACACTGACAAACATCCAGGCTAGGCCTGGATAAATACCAAAAATCTCAACAGAAAATACAGATATTAAGAAATAATATTGAAATTTGTACTGAACTTTTTCTTTTTTTTTTTTTTTAAAGATTTTATTTATTTATTCATGAGAGACAGAGAGACAGAGAGAGGCAGAGGGAGAAGCAGGCTCCCAAGGAGCAGGGAGCCCGATGTGGGACTCGATCCCAGGACCCTGGGATCATGACCTGAGCCGAAGGCAGACGCTCAACCATCTGAGCCACCCAGGCGCCCATGAACTTTTTCTTTTTTAGGTTGTGGATTCGGGGGGTTAAGAACACATAACTTTAGGTTGTTTTTAAATATCAGAAAACCACCAAAGATAGAGACTTGATTATGAGCCTAGCCTAGGTTTGCTCGTCAGAATGAATTCTCCCAACAGGTGGGATTCCTTGTGTCCTTAGATTTTCTCAACTTGAGTTCCGGGACATTTTGGAGCTGCTGAAGCCTCCAGAGAGGGTGCAAGGGGTTGGTCCTGCACCCAGATGTTCACTTAGTTTCCACTCTCATGGGTGAGTTTGACGAGTCCCATTTCCCATTTCCCATGTATTGAATCTTCATTGTGGAACTTGAAATAGGATGAGCAGCATGTTCCTGGGTTAGGAACTAAGTCAATAGTGTTTAGGGATCAGCTATTCTATGATGCAGTGGGACCATCAGAGAATATCCTGAATGCAGGGAAGGGCAACATCGAGAGACATTTACAGATGAGTAATTTTCAGAAATCCAGCCTGGTTCTTGATCTAGAAAGTCGGACCAAGATATTGGAGGCTACAACTCAAAGCCAGGTCAGATGTTTTCGTGGCATGGCTATAGAGATCCAGTTCTTATCTACATCTTGGTAAATTATATTTTGCTCACAAAATAACTTCAGATTATAGAATCTTCTTAGAATAGTATATGTTTTAAGAGGGTGCTTGCTTGTGACTAACATTAATAAAAATAAGAACAACATGATCTTATTCTGTATTAAAAAGACTTGTATGGCCAGAGAGCTCCTGAGACTATCCGCGGGTCACCTAGAGACACCATCCAGAAGCTAAACACAACCTATGGTCAATCTAATTTTTTGTGTGTGTGTTTAATGCTGTGACTTAAATGAGTACATCATCCTGCAAAAAGCACAAGACAAGCCACGTAGCATTTTGTAATACAAGAACTAATAATAATATAAATGTCAGCAGACAAGGAAGCCAAGACAGCAGTAACTCAGAGAGCCCAAAGCGCAAGGTGTGTGGTCTACACCCTAGTATAGCAGAGGTTCACAGGCAGAGCATAGGCTCTGCAGTCTGACAGCCTGGGGCTGAGACCGGCTCTCTGGCTCCGTAGCTGTGTACTTTGGGCAATTCCTTAACCTCTCCGTGCTGCTGCTGTCTCATCTCTGCAATGCAGATAATAATACTATCTATTCGGCAAGATATTTATGAAGATTACATTGTTTTATCTAGAGCACTTAGAACAGTGCCCGGCACATAGCAAGTGTTCAATGTTAGCTACTGTTGTTGTTATTATTTCTGTAAACAGGAGGAGGTCCTGTCACGGAAGCAGGCAAATGTTGTGGCAGAGAGCGTGGGCTTTGGGGTTAGACAGAACTAAGTTCAAATCCTCGGCTCCGTCATGGGCCAGTCACGAGACTTTGGACAAGTTACTCAAGCTATCTAAGCCTCCACTTTCCCATCTGTCTGGGGAGTATCATATAATCATACCTATATTCTCGGATGATTTGAGGAGGTGTAGAGCAGATTTACCTGGCATAGAATGGGCACTCAGTAATAGAAACTTGTGCTGTCTACTTGATCACAAAAAAAAGCTTCCTCTGAATCACAGACAAAATGGAGGCAGAAGTGGAATACAATTTTTTTTAAAGCTAAACGAATAGCCTTAATTGCCTTCTTCATTAAAAGAAAACACAAAAACTTGATAAAATCTTATCAGTTTATTCCCATGACCTAACTTTCTAACCATTAAGATAAAATTAAAAATTCCCAAGATGATTCTCATTTATAGGTTCTTGCGGAAAAACAGTAGTTTTTTTTTTTTTCTGGCAATATTATCTAAATTTTCTATCCTACATCATAGTCTGTCATTAAGGACATCATAATAAAAAGAAAGAACATAATTTCCCCTTACAGAAAGTCTTTTTTGTTGCCTGGCGAGAATAAGGCACTTCACTACCATGAGATTCTAGTAGCCAACGAAACCCAAGAACAACCTTGTCATAGCCAATCGAGATGACACATTTTTGCTGAAGAGGCATTTTAAGGACAAGGATGGGAGGGACAGCTGCTTTCCAACGAGAGCTCCAACGAGATCAATACTGTCATCGATGTCTACAAGCCAGATAAAGGTTAAAGAAAATAATGGTATGGTCAGTATAATCTAAACCACATATAATTTGCAAAATATAAGCTACAGAAAATGAATTTTAAGGTTGCGTGCATAGAGAGTGAAGTTCAGAAATGCAGACTTTATCTAATCTCTCCGAGCCAGAAAACAAAACAGTCAATCCTTTGTACATCCGCTAGAACAAAGGAACAATGAGACTGGGAAGTGCCTGGGCTGCGAGAACCTGCACTGGAAACAAACACTTCAAACCCCATTTATACTGCGATAAAGTTCTGTGCTGGCCCTTGGCCACCGCTGCTACCCATGCCGCAGAAGTTACAGGGTTTTCACACGTCTTTGCAATGTAAGCCCGAGGAAAACTCTGCTGTGTTAAAAGAAAGTCTCCGATATTTTCTTAGAAATAAATTAGGTACGGGCGCCTGCCTGGGTGGCTCAGTTGGTTAAGCGACTGCCTTCGGCTCAGGTCATGATCCTGGAGTCCCGGGATCGAGTCCCGCATCGGGCTCCCTGCTCAGCAGGGAGTCTGCTTCTCCCTCTCCCGCTCCCCCCTCTTGTGCTCTTTCTCTCTCTCACTCTTTCTCTCAAATAAATAAATAAAATCTTAAAAAAAAAAAATTAGGTACTTCCAAAAGGGGTGCTGATTTCCTGTATATATACAAATGAATTTCATCTATATCTGTATCTATATGAATGCAAGAGAGAGGGATTTCTAATGCTGTTTCAAACTGTAGTTATATGTAGGTAATCTTTTGATCGTATGACAGATGGCACGTAATTGGAAAACCCTACTTGACTTATGTAGTTCATGCCGATGGCTGCAGATGTCAACGCACACAGGCGCATTTATAGCCTTTCTGGTTTTTCCATGTACCACTCTCATATATATAGTAGCTAGTGAAGTTTGATGAACTACGAGAACTGTGGAAAGCCATAAATCAATGATTTAATCTCAATTTAATCAATCTTAATCTCAATGTATCAAAATGTATCATTAGCCATAAATTTGAGACATCTGTTTGTACCTCTCAGTTTCAGACAGACCTGGATTATGGAATGCCAAATGTAAAGTTCTGTGATATTCATCTTCTATATTTCAATGAATCCACCAGTATCAGAAAGCCTGAAAATTTCATAAAGTGGTCTTGATGTCAACCTAATTTTTCTGTTCTTTGAGGAAAAGATGAAGGTTAGCTAAATTTTTGAACCAAAATGATGAATTCTTCTTTGTTTCTCTTTTTTAAAAATGGGACTTAGAAAGAAGGAGAAATTCATATATGTAAAATGCAAGTAACAAGTAATACCTGCTTAAAATTTTTTTTTGTATGGCTACTAACACATTATTATTTATTGATATAGGAATTTCCAGTGTTTAGAATTTGAAATGATAATATTTATTTTGGAAATAAATTGAACCTTTTAACAGGATTGCAGGCCATCCATGGGTTAGTGCCAAAAGCTTTTCTCCAAGTCATGATAGCATCACAATATATCTGTGTAGGATCTGATAGTTTACAATGTGCTTTCTCAGTTGGAATAGGCGGTCAGAGATGTGAAGTGACTCATTTAGGTCACACACGTAACAAGTAGTATAGCTGAGATTCTAACACCTGGCTGCAAGTTCCTTCTATTACACCTTAGCTGTCCCAGGATGGGTGATGTCTTGAATGCATGCTCAGTGTAATAATAAAACACTCAAACCAGATTCCTTGGAAAATAATAGGTAAATTTACAGAATTTTCGTTTGATGGTTAGACTATCGTAGCAGAGATAAAATGAGTAACAACACTAATCACACCTAAATCTAATTCTGTGGCTGTGAAAGTTACTCTGATTTTTTTTTTAATCATTTTTCATGATTCTTCCTTTTTGTTTCCCTAGTCTGACTGCCTTTACCTGGGATCCCATTGCCTTATGTTTTAGCTGCTCCCAGAATTTTCTGGGTGTCTTCCTTATTTTCTCCCTTTTCTGTACTGTTGCCAAATAACCTCTTTGTATATCTTCCCCATCACCATCCTCGTCCTTCTTACAGCACCAAGATCTTTCCGTGAGATGAAGTCTAAGTTTCTCCATAGGCACTCTGGGTCGCCTCAAATAGGATATTACTCCCCACCCACACACACATCTTATCTTTCACCACTAACTCTAGGTCAACAGATCTACCTTTTTAGTAATGACAGGGCCTATTTCTGTATCTCTACGGAAACTGGGATACTATTCTAGTTAAAAGCAGGGAGGCTAGGAGACCGGAAGCTGCATTTATGTAGCACTCTACATAAAATGGAATGAACATCAACTATTCATACCAAACAA